GATGAACTTGATGTACTGAGAACTTTGATTTATATTTACTTGGATTTTTTGTAGATGAACTTGATGAACTTGATGTACTGAGAACTTTGATTTTTTACTTATCCTTAGAATCAAAAAGTTGACAAAGCTCTGAGTAGGCTCTCTGAGTAGGCTCAGTAGGCTCTGGGTGTGCTGTCCATTCAGTCTACCTGGGACCCAGTGACCCCTCTCCAGCTGCAGACCAGGGGGTCGTTCTTCGATTAACTGTCACTAAGAACTCCCCACCACATGTTCCTTTTTTGTGCTCTGGGCATGCGGGCATGTTACTGCGTTGCCTGATATAACTGACCACCAAGTCTGCTTTATTTTGTTTCCATCTCAAAGTGGTGTTGGCTCTGGATGGTGAGCTATTTCTTTCATGTTATCTTTATTTAGGGTCACTGCTAATTCAGATCTCAGTCACTCTCTTTTCTTTGTTTATGTATTGAATTTTTAAACTCAAGAAATTGGTTCTTCTTCTATTCCAGCATGTTTCTTTCAGTGCTTGACTTGGATATCGTTGGTAGCTCTTGAGAATTCGTTTTCGGGGGTCTTGTCTGATATTTCTAATGGCTCTCCTCCAACTCCATGTAGCAGGTATTCACCTGGGTCTGTCTTCCTGGTGGAGTTCTTCGTTAGCTTTTTAATTTGCACACTCAAGATTTCGTCCATTCATTGATCATGTAGGATTGTTGGGTCTTGGGTGACAGGCAGTGCAGTTTCTGCTCCTGGGGACCAGCATGGAAGAAATGGGAAAACCTGCAACAAGCTGTTGGGACGCACAGGGGGGTTCTTTCTTCATGATCCAGGTGTCGCAACATGAAAGAAAATCCTTCCCAACCTAATAAACCAAGACCAGCTCAGCTCCAGGGTGTGACCCCCTCTGGTCCTCCAAGACCAGCTCAGCTCCAGGGTGTGACCCCCTCTGGTCCTATGTGCCACAGCCTTCTCCCAAGGAAGCCACAGTGTTCTGGTCTTCCCACTAGGCCCCCTGCACCTTAGCTCCAGCAGCACAAGGTGAGGCTCCAACTACCACCAGAGCAGCATCCAAGAGGTTGTGGGCAGCTGTTTTCCCAGACACCTACTCCAGGAGTGCCAACTTGTCCACCAGGTGATGAGGAGGATGAATGCTAACCAATCCCCTGTACTTATCGTTCCTCCATGAAATTTCTCTAACCCTCAACGGTTGGGATCATTTGAGTGGAGGTCACTTTCAATTAATGGCATAATTAGGTATAATACATCAATTTAAAATACACTGTTTACTTTTGATAGAACAGTTTGACATGCATCCAAAAATAATTTTTTTCCCTTTGATCTGTAGGTCCATGACTAAGTATCTAGCCTCAGGATATAATGTGTAATTAAAAAAAAAATGTTACTTACATGAAGACATTCATTATGAATAAAGTCAAACACTGCAACCAGCTTAAATGGCTGTCAGTGGGAGAAGGGCTGTGTGAATTAGGAAGCCTCCATCTACTGGGACAGGCATTCACTTGGCTTTGACCACCACACACCACCATGGACAAATGCTCAAAGCTATGTGCGACGTAGGAAAAAGGGCACCCGTTCCCATGGGCTGTGTGACTCCAGCTGTAACACATCACACGCCAGTTACAAGGCAAAGATCTTACAAAAACACTGACAGTGACCATGCAGAGGTGGTTTCTGGGGATGTTCCCTGCTTCTCAAGTGAAAAAAAACTAGTGGGTGATGAAATGGTGTCAGCAAATTCTCCTCAGAAGCCAGACGTACATGCAGCTGACCACGTGGCAGACTGGGAGACAGGAAGGGCTGCCCAAGAAAGGGGGGGTCGTTTGCCTGCCATCTCAGCAGATGGCTGAGGAGCCAGCTCCCTCTCAGTTCGCCAGTCCATCAGTCCTGTGCCCGGGTGTGTGTGCTGTGCCAGGCTGTTGACTCAGCCTCTCATGGCACCCCAACGGATACAGTGACCAATCCAACAGGGTTTGACCCTGCCACAGACGAAGGAAAACCATGCCTTCCAAACGTAACAGCTGGGCTCCTGGGAGCCCCTCGTCCCCCGTATCAGGCAGCTACACTCAGTGGCATGTGTCAGTGGCTTAGAACCAGGAGACAGATGTGGGATTAAAGAAAACTGCTGAAACCACAGCTGAAACAGAATTCACACCCATGCAGACAAATTCTCTGCTAAAACACTTTCCAAAAGCAGATGTGTGGAAGTGGAGGTTCCCTTTGGGACCCCTCTCACCCACACACTCTAAGGTGGCGTCCCCCACTAGCAGCCAAAGCATTAAGCTTCCCTCATCAAGGAAGGCAAGTCTAGATAAACACCATTTTCTTTGGAGTAGAGTCATTTCCTGCCAGTGATACCTAATCCTATAAATTATTTATCATGTTTCCGGGTTGCTGACGACAGCTTTGCAGAGTGGTAGCAAGAGGAACGCTGTCCTCCCACCATCTGAGCCCGGTTTGCTCCCTCAGTTCTGCTGTGGGATGTCTGCGGCCAGAGCACTGCCTCCCTCTCCCCGGGCAGCCACGGGCACAGTGTGGCCCTTCAGTGTCCAGGGAGAGGGGAGCCTGAGTGAGCTAAGTCTTCCTGCTTGCTGACTCTAAGTTTTTGCTGAAGCCGAGGTGTTGCCATTTTGCTATCCCACTAAATTAACTGATCCCCCTAAGTCCATTTCTGGGAATCAGTCCTACAGAGAGAATTCTGACTGGGGGAGGGGGTGGGTAATAACCACATGATGACATCAGGATAGCCTGATTTGTATGTAAGTGGATTCCATCTAAATGCCCACCATTAGGGGAGTGATTAACCTGGGGTCCGTACATTTGGGGGGAGAGTCTACAGTCCTTTCAATGCTAAGGAAAACGAGGGAAGAGCCTGAACTGTGCTTTTACGCTCACTTTAGGGCACTGGTTCTCAGCCAAAGGACAATCTTGCCCCCCAGAGGACATCTGACAATGTCTGGAGACAGACTTGTCATGACAAAGGGGTGCTGCTGGGACCTAGTGGACCAAAGCCCAGGACGCTGTTAATCATCGTACGATGTACAGCAAAGCCCTCCCACAACGCAAAATTACCCAAAATGTCAGTGGTGCTTAAGCTGAGAAACAAAAAACCCCACTGAAAGCAAAACCTGCGCATGCATACAGGCAATGTGGTCTTACTGCTCGTATACCTATATAAACAATACATCTGCATAGGAAACCAGTCAAAGCAAACAGACCAAAACATTAAGTTGACCAAGTCCTCCCCCTCCCCCCCCGCCCCAAACCACAGAGCTACACTCTCCACAGACTCTAAGTGGTGTTTCTATTTCTAACTGTTCGTACAAAGTAATATATCCTGGCGTAAGTCTTGCAATGGACTCACCTCAAATGGCATTATTAAATGGTAATTAGAAAAAAATACATTCTTCCAAGAAAGCAGAGACCTGATGCTTGGGCATTTCCAGCAAGGATCCACTGGCTGCCTCGGTCCCCCTGGCAAAGGGAGGAATTTCCAAAACATTCATGACATTCAGCATGTCTATCACAGTAAGAACCACGGAAGGTGACTTTTTGTTCTGTGACTGTAAGGTTCAGGTGGCTACTATATTGCAACAGTGCATTCATTTTCAGCATCTAAACCAGTAACGTTGAAAATGTTTTTTAAAAGCGGGAGACTCCTTGATCTCTTAAGACAGATTTCAGCCTGCAGGAACTCACTGCACACCACCAAGGGATGTCTTGACCTATTCAGAGGCATGTCCCCTAGTTACTGTGCCTTAAAAGTCGTGGCTTTCTGTGTTTACTGATTTTCTTTGCTTGGTTTCGTATCCTATTTAGAAGCATTTTGATGCTTCTAAAATGATTAGAAAAGTACCAAGTTTGCGAAAATTGAACATAAAGGGACCAGCTATGCAGAAAAGTGTGAAGTTCTCGCCTCTGAGTTACGTTCATGAATTTTTACTGCATGGGCTATTGCTACAGCTGTTAAAAACCATGCTCATCCCTGCCGTCTCCCACCCCATCAAAAGTTCTTCGCTCTATTCTGGAAATTGCCCATAAGCAATTTCCAAAACACTGTTTGTTTTTCAGAGGCTGTGGTTTCTCTACCCCAAGCACAGGCCTAGGATGAGAAAACGAGGCATATTCAGGGACATGGAGCAAGCCCCCATCTGCACTCTGGGGCCTAAAACCACGTTGTCTCTAGAAATGACCAAGCCCACTGAGACGACCACACAAGCCACCCAGCCTGTGTTGGGCTTTATGGCAGGCATGGAACACTGTTGGCCATATATGTGGTCTGAATCGATCTGATGCCATGGAGGAGGCTGTCACTAAGATCCTAGAGCTGCTGTAACCATCAAACCCCAGCCCTGAAACTGCCCATAGCTCAATGCCTGTTCTTACCCCGTTGTCCTGAATAAGCTCACCTCATCCTTTAGTAGTCCAGTGAACCCAAGACCTTTCCCCCAAGCCTACCCAAACGAGTCAGAGGAGAGATGGTGAATCGTCAAAACCTTGGGAGACCAGAAGGGCCAAGAAGGCAGGCTCCTCCAGCAGCACAGAGAAGTCCACAAGGAGTGGCACTTGCTGTGGGCAGTGGGGATGGGTGAACTTCCTTCACGGGGACAGGCCACCATGTGGATGCTCTGACTCGCCAACAGAGACGAGGGACCCCCACCCAGAAAGGATGAGTGTGCACCAGGGAGCATCGTCCAGCCTGGCTGAAAAAGGAACCTAGGAGGCCCTTCCGTGCAGCCTCACCCTTCCCAACTGCATTGCTTCCTCACAGAGTGCTACAACGTTCTCCAAGAAAGGAGGATGCTGGGAGGAAAAGACAAGGCCTCTGGGCAAAGCTGTAGCTGAAAGGACCCTTTCTGATGTCTCAGGCCGGGGCTGGGTGACTCTCATCAGGTCCAAGGCCACCAGCCAACCCTGCCATAGACCGTCTCCACCCACCGCCACTGCAGCACAGGGAGCACCCAAGTGGCATTCCAGACACTCACCAGGACCGGCCGCGTTTCACAGAAAACCAGGAGAGCTGCCAGCTCCATATCTTCACTGTATCCGTTCTTAAGAGGAACCGATCTAAATCCTGCAGCGAGAACGGGAAAACGGCTCATAGCCGGGTTACGGGCATCGGACCTTGGCTTCCTCGGGCTGTGCAGGGATCACGTGCCCCCATCAAGAAGCAGAGGTCCGTGCCCTCAGGCAGCTGTTCTGGAAACCAGAGGTCCCAACCTGATGGTAGGGAGAGGGCTTCATCAATGCAGCTTTGACTGACCGGTCCAGACGGGGAGGCAAGTGAAAGTGCCTACAGAACATTCCGTGTTGAATTTAGAGTGACTACAGATGGCGCTCAGTTCTGTACATACTCCCAAGGCCCAAAGACTCCAAGGAGTCATGAATCCTCATGTGTATCTCCATTTAAGCCTTTACAGAGCACAAGCCGCTGGAGTGTGTGGGAGCATTAAAGATGTCCCAGGGCAGGAACTCAGTCCCCGGCCAGTTCCCAGCAGCCCTGCTCTGCCTCTGAAAGCCATTCCTGTTTACAACACAGTCTGTGTTCAACAGTCACGTGAAGGAACGTTTCCTTCTGAGAGGTGAGGTGGGGCAGAAGCTTTGTAAAACCTCCTCCATTAAGTAATGGAAAGGCAACCTGTCTCAAACGGTTATTTCGTTGCTTTTTGTAATTAAATAGTGTACTCAGAAGGCTCCCTCCTACTCAGTCATGGTCCCAAGCACAACAGGAACTGTGGATAACAGTATGCTAAGGCATGGGCCTGAGTCTCTTTCGGTATTTTTTATTGTGGTGAAATCTATTTTAACAACATTTGCCATTTCAACCATTTCTACAGCTGCAATTGAGTGGCATTATTATTACCAGTCTCCCTTTGCACATTTTTCTGTCACCTTTAACAGAAACTCAGACACTCTCACGCAGTACCTCCCTGCTTCTCCCTCCCCCCTGCCCCAGCAACCACTCCTGGTCTCTGTGCACTGGGACACACACCACTTGTCCGTCGGTTTGTCGCATACGGGGGCTTGTGTGCTGCTGGAAGCTGTGCACTGGTATTTCCAATACTAAATACTAGCAGGTCACCCATGGTGGCCACATTTCAGCAGAGCTTTCCAAATAACACAGACTGTGGGACGAAAGACGTGGTGGTCTACTTCCGAGAAGACTGATCCCTGAAAACCGAATAGCAGTGGAACACTGTCTGACCGAGTGCTGGAAACGAGCCCCTCAGGTGGGAAGGTGCTCAAAGCGGGACTGGGGAAGTGCTGCCTCCTCAAAGTGGAGTTGACCATAATCACGTGCATGGAATAAAGCTTGTGGAACCTCACTCACTGATCTGGCATGACTGACAATGAGAAGAAGGGACAGCTGTAACCAACCATTAATAATCGGAACGTGGACTGTACGACGTATGCATCTAGGAGAATTAGAAGCTGTCAAAAATGAGATGGACTGCACCAAGATCAACGTCCTGGAATTAGTGAGCTGAAATGGACTGGCACTGGCCATTCTGAACCAGACGATCATATGGTCTGCTAGGCCAGGAATGACAAAAGAGGAAAGACATTGCATTCGTCACCAAAAAGAACACTTCAAGATCTATCCTGAAGTACAGTGCTGTCCATGATAGGATAATAACCAAGGGGCTGCAAGGAAGAACAGTTAACATGAACATTATTCAACTCTACAAGCTAACCGCTACTGCCAAAGATGAAAAGTTGCTCAAACATGCATTCAAGATGCATTCATAATTGGAAACAAAGAAGGACCAGTAGTTGGAAATATGGCCTTGGTGATACAAATGTGATACGAATGACTCAGGAGATCGCAGCATAGAATTTTGCAAGACCCACAACCTGTTCGTTGGAAATAGGTTTTTTCAACAACAACTACACACATGAACAGTGCAGGCTAGAATAACAGGAATCAGATTGACTACATCTGGGGAAAGACATGATGGAGAAGCTCAATGTCATCGGTCAGAAGGAGGCCAGAGGCTGACTGTGGAGCAGACTATCAGTTGCTCATATCCAAGTTTAAGTTGAAACTGAAGAAAATTAGTAACAGTCCACAACAGCCAAAGTAAGACCTTAGGTATATATCACACTTGAATTTAGAGACTATCTCAAGAATAGATTTGTTTGGTCATTGAGCACTAATGACTAAAGACCAGATGAGTTGTGGGATGACATTAAGGATATCACACATGAAGAAAGCAAAAGGTCATTAATAGGAAAGGAAGAAAAAGGCGAAAATGGATGTCAGAAGCCACTCTGAAACCTGCTCTTGAAGGGACAGTAGTGAAAGCAAATGGAAGAAATGCTGAAGTAAAAGAGCTGAACAGAAGATTTCAAAGGGCAGCTCAAGAAGACAAAGTGTTATAATGAAATGTGCAAAGACCTGGAGTTGACCTGGAGTTAGAAAACCAATAGGGAAAGACAAGTTGAGCATTTCTCAAACTGAAAGAGCTGAAGAAAAAATCGAACCTTTCAGTGTCAATATTACAGGATTCTGTGGGCAGAATACTGAATGAGACAGGAAGCATCAAAAGCCAGAAGGAATACACAGTCTCCGTCCAGAAATGAACTGGTCGACATTCAGCCCTTTCAGGAGGTGGCATATGTCAAGAATCAAATGGTATTGAAGGAAGAAGCCCAAGCTGTACTGAAGGCACTGGTGAAAAATTGAATGAGAATACCCATGGAGATGTTTCAACAATGGACACAGCACTGGAAGCGCTCACTCGTCTGGGCCAGGAGATTCGAAAGATAGCTACCTGGTCAACTGACTTCAAGAAGCTCCACACTGGGGCCCATTCCAAAAAAAGGTGATAAAACAGAATGTGGAAATCACTGCACAGTATCGTTAACATTCTACCCAAGTAAAATTTTACATAACAATTCAGTAATAGTTGTAGCAGTACAGTGACAGAGAACTGCCAGAAAGTGAAGCCAGATTCAGTGGAGGACTTGGAAAGGGAGGGATGTCATTGCTGATGTCGGATGGATCTTGGCTGAAAGCAGAAAACACGAGAAAGATGTGTTTGTTTTCTAGGAGCTGGGAAGCGGGGAGAAGGTCTCATAGTCTAACAGGGTTGAGGTCACATTATTAACTATCCTCCAGCTGAGGGTCTTGGTTTTCTCAAATTTTTGAGTCTTCAAACTACACCATAGGGTTTTCTAGACAAATCAGTACATTTGGGGTCTTGGACTGCACCTTGTCTCTGAGGCACTGGGAGGGGACTGTGGGGGCAAGGCAGAGGGACGGTGGACGCGGAGCCAGACCCGGGTCCCTGAGCAGGGCATCTGCTGTGACTCAGAGGCAAGGGCAGGAGAGACTGTAGGAGACATGGCTGTCCATGCAGCAGCAGAAGTGGGGCCTGTACTAAGTCTCGTGGATTTGGCTAATGCACTAAAAGGCAAATTGTGAATTTAAGAACTGCAGCTTACTGCTGGGCTGGAAGTACTTTATAGAGTGGAAAGCTGGTGAATCCAGAGGGGAGGTCAAGTCAAGTCTCAGCCTCTGAATACCTGTTCTAATCAATAGAGCAAATGAGTAAAAGGGGTATTTCTAACATGCGAAAAAAAAATTCTCATTAAGACTGCCTCTTTGCTTAGGAATTCATTGTCTCAGTTTCTAGGAGCTGGCTAAATATGCAGATTCCTGGGCCCCACTGAGACTGGTCAAATCAGCATACCCCACAGTGGGCCCAGGAATCTGCACGCTCTTCCCTGCGCCCCGTGGTAGGAACCATCAGATTGTTAGAAATTCAGGGAATATCCGATGTGCTCCAAGTTGAGGAAAACAGGACCCAGTTCCGCTCCCTGTCAAGCCCAATGTCAGGAGAAGAGATGCTATTTCTATATAAGCAACTAAAGTTAGCAATTGTTTTCTCCCTAAGGTGCAAAGAAAACCCTGAGTGGGAAGGGCAGCTGTGACCGCAGAAGGATTCAGGATCCTGCCCCTCACGTACCAGAAACAGAAGGAGAGTGCAGAGCTCAAACACGGTAACGTAAAACCCAGTGGGAGACAGCCTCCTTTACTGAGCAGGACCTTGGATCGATGCCTGGCCCGGGAAGCAGCAATGAGCTCCCAGCTTCTGAATCTGCCAGCTCGGAGTGCAGCAGGCTCAGCCCTGAGCCCTGATCCTGAAGAGCTGGCTGGGTGTCTGGTTAGGGAGTGCTGCTGTCGTCCGTAACCCCCGCCCAGGGCAGACTGAACAAGGAAAAATGGATTCTCTCACAGCTCGGGAGGCTGCAAGGCCAAGTTCAGTTCAGGGGGCCAGCTCCAGAGAAGGCTTGCTCCCTCTCTGGGGGAAGGGCCTTGTCTCTTCAGTTTATTTCCGGGTTCCTTGGAGATTTCATGGGGTCGGGCATCTCTCTCCCCCCAATCTCTGCTTCTCTCATCTCTGGTAAGAGGTAGCCTCAAGACACACCCTACACTAACCCTGCAAACACAACCCATTCCCAAATGGGACCATAACCACAGGTACAGGAAGGCCCCAGGTACAAATGAGATCAGTCCCTAACTGTGTCTGTGAGAATCTGTAGGTGAGTGGGTACAGTTGCACAGGGTTCTTACTTAGCCTTACATCAGTGTAGGAAAAGGCTGGCAGTGCAGCCAGGGACGGTGACCGTGGTGAAGGATTGGTTAGCAGTAGGGTGGTGGGTTCAGTCATTTCAAGGGGGGAGTAAATGTACGTAAGTTGGGTGTTTATAACCCAGGACTGCCTGTAGAGGGGTACACAATTCAATCCCTAACGCTTGGTCCCAGGCAACATAGAGTGGAATCAACCACAGCAAGGTGTGGTCTGTCCCACCCTCTAGTTTCACAGGAGAGGAAGGTGAGCCAATAGCCTTTCCTTACCAGCCAGGGAGAAGGAAGACATGCCACCTGCATAGCTGTCAGCCTGGGGTGAGGACAAGCACGTGAACGGCTTAGGCTATTTCAACATGAGATCCAGTGCCAGTGCCGAGTTCACAACTAAACTAACAACCCAGTTTTGCAGGCAGAAGTTCTGACTTTGAAGTAGACAGTAGTTCACCTTCCTCGGAAGTGGTTGGGGATGGGCTCTAAGTTTGCTGGGGGGGGCGGGAACATCATGAGGCCAGTGCCCCAAGCAGCCTAATTGCTTTTCTATGATTACAGCCAAACCAGGGAAAATGTTTTTCTGTTTTTCACTCTTTGTAAGACCAGCACTGCTAGCTCAATCGCAGCTCTTACCTGACTTGATCCCTTTAATAGGGTAAGTGGCGTGAGCCAGGAAGTTGGGATCACTGAACATGTCTTCCTCGTAAACCACAAAGCGCAGAAATGCCAGGTTGGGGTCGTAGATTTCGAACGTGACCTTCTCCTGTGTGGAAGCCCAGACGGGACTCAAGCCGTTGTCAACTGCAGAGAGAGCAGAGCTCACTGGAGGTGCGTCTGCCCCCACCTCCTCGTACCCATTCCCAGCAGGTGCCGTCGAGTGGACCGTGACTCGGGCACCCCGTGTGGCAGAGTGGAACTGCGTGGGAGGGTTTTCAACAGTGACTTTGTGAACTATACGGCCAGGCCTCCTGTGGAAGCAGCACCTCAGGGGGCTTAGCAGTTGAATGCATTAACTCCTTCAGCCTGTAACTAACCACAATTAATATTTTCTGCTCCAGCTGCTGGCTCGGGCCTGGCCTTCAGAGAGGAGGGGAGCAGAACCCCAGCTCTTGACCCATCTCAACTGCCCAGTTTAGGTGGTTGGGGAATCCTTCACCAGCACAGGGATCGACTGGGCCTTCAAAGGCCCCGGGCAGAACCTCTTCCTTTAGCTCTGGTAGCATGGTGCCTAGGGCACTTGACTGCTAACCAGAAGGCTGGCGGTTCAAACCCACCAGCCACTCCTCGGAAGGAAGGTTGGGCAATCTACTTCCGTAGTGATACCACCTCAGAAACCCAAGGAGGGGTGGCTATGAGTCGGGTCTGACTTGATGGCATGTACCACCACCACCATGGGGTAGGCCTGCCTAGCCTCCCTAGAAAATCACCCAGGTGGCTCTGCTTCTTGGCCCTGGACTCAGCACAGGAATGACAGCAGGGCTGCTGCACAGAGAACAAGCCAGCATCCTGGTCCACAGGCAAGAGCTGCCAAGCAGTTGTGCACCACATACAAGTCTGACTATTGAATGAGGAGTCTGTTTCCTTCCCAGCTCTGCAGCACAGTGGGGAAGAGGGTGCATGACAGAACCAGGCCACGGCGCACCAGACGCCTCCGTGAAGAGAAGCCCCAACCCCAGCTGCTGCTTGCTCGAGGTTTACACGGAGAGAGAACCGTGGGCAACTTACTGACAACTGTCGTCTTAAACTTGTTGTTGTCATACTCGGCTCCACATATTTCCACCTCAACAAAGGGACAGGCAATGCTTCGTCCAAGCTTGGGGAGATGGCGGGCACCAAGAACCTAGGACACAAAGGTGAGTCCTGGGGAGGGCTGGCCCGGGCTTAGTGTGGGGGCTAGAGGCTGAATCTCTGCGGGTGGTAGGGGGAGAGCAGAGGTCAGCAGCAGTGCTGATGGCCTCGCATGGGGGACGGTTGCACCAGCCTTCCACAGCTGTGGAGGCAGGACCTGTCAGCTTACTCCGTGGGAGCCCCGAGATGCAATGGAGAGCCTCTTGGCTCCCGGGACAGGAAGAGAACAAGTGTGGTAAAGACCTCTGGTTTGAGAGGCTTCATTTTCTTCCTCCTTAATCTTCAGAGTCTCTACCTTCCTTAGTTTTCACAGAAGGAAGAACTGAAAACTCTAACAAATGCTTTTTGACTACAGGCTAATTAAAGTTTGACCCTCAAATTGGCTACCGGTGGCACAAACCCTCCTCTCTGCAGTCCAAAACATCAGCCCCTTGGGCTTCATCTTCGCTTTTTGGCCAGAGGCTGACCTCACAGGGTCCCAGAGAGACCCTGGTGAGCCCTGGAAGCCGCCCTGACCCCAAGGGGGATTGTCAGACCTCCCAACAAAGAACAAAGGGTACGGGGTCCAGGTGAGTGGAGGAGGAACGTCCTCCTCCCAGATGACGGCAAACTGTAACATCTTTCCTGGGTGATGCTGATGCCTAAAGGGCAGCACTAGCACCCTCGGGTCCCCTCTGGGCATAGACAGGGCCTCCCAGGAGGGGAAGGAACACGGGGAGTCACCTTGACTGTCAGTGTCATCTGGATCTTCCTCTGGGGCTCGGGCGGTAGTGGGTCATACTTCTCAGTCCTCATGTTCTCAGGCTGCAGGACGTAGCCCGTCCGCCCATTGAGAGAAAACAAGGCATGATTCAACTGCATGTACTTATCTAGGAAGGAAGAGAAGCAAGAGAAGCTGCTGTCAGGCAGGCACGGGGGCCCTGACGACCTGGAGGGGCGACACACATGCAATGATTTATTTCTATCCCCTCAAAAGATGAGAGGTTTTTACGATAGTCATAAAAAAACCTGTAGTACTAGAGGAAAATAATAGGGTCAAAAAAGTAATCCCAAACTAGGGACACCTTTCTAAGTATAACACCAACACCCTAAGAGCAAAGTATTAAAACTGACTAAAACATTCCTACAGGCAAAAATGAATGAAGTGATGCTGCCGACGGCCTATTCCAGTGTTCTGCCAATTCCCACCTGGCATCTGTACAGAGGAGTACAGAGGAGGGGTTGCCGTCTCAGTGTGGGCACACCTGACAAGGGTTGTCTCCAGGACAAAGTGACCAGACATAAATGGACGTCTGTCGAATCCCCTGTGCACTTGCGGAAGTCCACCCCCCAGACGTGACCCAGAAGCAGTCAAGAAGGGATATGGTGCTGCTGTGGGAAGAATCCACAGATACACAACGCACAGGCAAAGCACTGTGATTTCTGCTCCCGTCGGTGAGCCGTGTCTGCTGTCCCAGCACCACGCCCTCTTCGGCAGACAGACTAGGCTTAAAGCTCTCCAAGGGACAGGCCCAGAGGACAGAGCCCTGAAACGCCTGGATCCAGCTCTGCCTGAAGCAAAGAATCGACTCTTGGACTTTCTAATTACATGAGTAAAAGTATATTCCCTTTTCCTCTTAAGCCAGCCTGCCTTAGCTTCTGGCACTTGTCATCATGTGGTTGCCTAATAGCAGTGGCCCACGACCAGGGCTGTCCATGGGTCCCCTTCAACACAACATATTCCTCTGGGTCATCCACATCACACCACGTCGGCCAGCTGACCTCAGAGGTTACCTGCTGTCTGGAAGTTGAGCGCCACCATCTGGGAGCCACACAGCCAGAGCCGGAAGGGATCGTAGTTTGAAGAATCAACCCTCTGTCCCTTGGGGTAGACGCGGGTCAGGCCTTTCTGGTTGTACTTCAAGAGGTCGAGGGGCTTCTGTCTGATGATGCTGTCAGCCTTGGTCTCCACAAAGGAACGGATTTCTCGGAAGTCAGGGTTTTCTGCGCATCCGAGGAAGCAAGTCACGTTGAGTATGTGCTTTACGTACATTTTCTTAATGTTCGTGCAATGGCTACAACAGGAATCCCCCCTCTAAGCTGAGACCTTCAAGTGCTTAAGGCAGTACAGCACTGTATTTGTATCCTGAGGGTCCCAAACAGTGGAGTGGGTTTGCCCAGAGCCCTTTAGCATTGTTATATTTGTTTGTTTTCGCTTAAAACTACCAATAGTCTCGTACCAAAAAAAAAAAAAAGTGGGAGAGCTCAGGAAGGGGGGGTCTGAGGCAGAGCAGAGCAGCTGTGAACAGATCTTAGGGGTGAAGGTGCAGAACACTGCTCTTCCTCAGGGATGTCACCAAACAGATGAGTGCAGGCAGCAGGCCAGCCACTGCCCCAGGAAGGGTGGTGACAGGAAAGGGGGTACCTACAGGGTGAGAAAGGGACTGGGAAGGCTCTTCACTTTCACTTGATGAGGCCCTGCTCCCGCAGGACAGACCCATGATGGACATATACAGCTCGGCGACGGTTTGACACAGGCTCCAGAGATGCAGCCCCAAGCTCAGACAAACCAGCAGAAGTGGCCGAGTGAGGAGCACCATCCCCCCGGATCCCTGAGACCCAGAGCGAGCGTGGCCCTGCCACGGCCCTGAGCACCGATTTCTCATTTCCAGCCTCCAGAACTCTGGTGAGTAAATGTGCATTGTTGTAAGCCACCGAGGTTGCAGTTCCTTGTTGCAGCCACCTTCCAAGGCTCTCCCACTGAACACACACAAGGGCCCTGTTATCCCAGGATCCTGGCCCTGAAGCAGGGACACATATCCGCTTGCCTGCCTGCTGCTGGCAGGCTCAGAGACTTGATAACCGTTTTCAACTCCGGAAGGAGACACACTCCCTGGGAAAGGCTTACCTAAATTGTCCTTGGTTTTGCTGGTGGGTTTGCAGTATACGACCAGGTCTGAGAGCTCAATGGCTATGGACTGGTTCTTCTCCCAGTACTTCATGTTGTTCTCCTGTGGGAGGCGACAGGCCTCAGCCACCCAAGCACCCAGCCTCTCTCCTACAGACTCGGAGCCCTCAAAGAGCTGAGTATCTTCCTTCCTCTAAGCCAATGCCTGCCTTCCCCTTCCTCTCACTGCCAGACGGCTTTCTTCCCACCCAGCTTATGTGTCTGTCTACCTTAGTCACTAACACTACTGTTTGTCAAAACCCAGCTCCCAAAGCCCAGGATATCCCTGTCCTCAGTTTATCCCAGGATGCTCTGTGTACAGGCCCTGAAGCTACATGCTTGGGGGCATTTCTCCGAGGACCTACTGTTGACTGAGCTGCTTCCACAGCAGGATGCCTTACTTCATCTTGAATAAGCACCCCTCTCAGGCCTCCCCACGTTCTGATGCTCACTCTCACTGGCCCCGGTGGTGCCTCTTGGTCGCGCACCCTCGGTCTCCGCAGGTGGGAGTGAGGTGAGTGCACACACCCAAGGTGGCCTGGCTCTCCACTGCACAGAGAGGTGAGGCAGCTCACGCCCGGCTGCACCACAGGGCAGGGACAAGGCCCGATGCTAAAGCACCCAGCCCACGTTCACACCTGGGGTCTCAGGGCCATGGCAGGCACCCCTGCCTCCTCACCTCTCTGCCTGCCCCTCTTCCCAGAGCCCGGTGACCACCCTCCTTCACAGAGTTCCATGGATGGACATGAGAAGGCACACGGCCTTCCTCCACTCTCCCAGTGTGCTCCATGCCCAGCATGGCTGCTACCACCCTCCCCACTATCTTACACTGGAGCCACATTATGCTGCCCCAGGTCTCCCCTGAAAGCAGGCCCCACAGGTGGCTAAAAGATTTGGAGAGAGATGAGTCATAACCAGTGGCTAAGAGAGAACTGGACTTGGACACACGGTTGTTCAAACCCTGCCCGGGTAGTTACTGGAGGTGTGAACCTGGTAAGGCGTGGAAGTGGTCTGTGGCTCAGTTTCCCTACCTGTAAGATGAGGCTATGATAACCCACTGTCTAGGGCTGTTGAGAGAATTAAACAAGGAGCCTCAACACAGGTCTGGCAGGCAGCACACTTGCCACCTGCGAGGCCTGCTCTCAGGGGAGACCTGGGGCAGCAGCAAGTGGCTCTAGTGTAAGGCAGTGGGGAGGGTGGTGGCAGGGCATGCTGGGCAGGAGCTCACTGGAAAACTGAAGGAAGGCTATATGCCTTCTCACTATTCTCCAGGTGGTAGCTATATGGACCAGCTGGCAGACACCCCCCTCTGCCAAGAATGGGGCTGCTCACTCTCCAGAAACACACAGGCAGGGGTGCCTCACCCATGGGCTCTGACACCATCCCCAAGGACCAGTGGCTGTCAAGTGACTCGTGACGACCCCGGGTACGTCAGTGGACCCCGGGTACGTCAGTGGGTGGTTTTGTGGGAATAGGTCACTAAGCCCTTCTTCCACAGGGTCTCTGGATGGACTCAAACCGTCTAGTCTTTGAATCAGCAGCTGAACATGTTAACTACTTCTCCCAACTACAGCCTCCAACCTCATTCCAAGAGCCAGACAATCAGGCCTAACCAACCACAAGCCTACATGGGCCACAGCACTGTCCATGTGACCAAGACAGCTCTGACCTTGCCTTGAGTAGACACTGCCCCCAGCTCATCCACGCACACCCAGCCCTCCTCACACTTCCTGGGCACCCTGGGTACAAAGCCACAGGGGCAGGGCTAGAAAGGACGGGTGTGCGTAGAATGCGAACAGAAAGCAAAGATGTCACCAGGTCCAAGAGGAACATGCCTGCTTCTCTGAAGCCACATTTCTTCACAAGCTTTGGGGCTTTCTCCTGGTCTGAGTATCAGCTTGGCTTTGTAGTCCTGGGGCACGATCTTCAACATGAAGTGATTTAAGGAGGGTAAACCCTGGTGCCATCACAGCTCACCACGAATAACAAGAATTACTTAAAATGAGGGCGGGTGGGCCCAGTGCATCCCGAGTTACAGAACTCTGGCCTTCACAAAGCACAGGGCAGGGACCACGGGCTGCACTTGTTTCTCTAGGTCAGCAGGAGACAAAGACGCACAGGCAGTTGCTGTGTCAGAAGGAAGAAATACTCTCCAGAACTGCAGCTTTGCCCATCGGGCCACCGGAAAACACAACGTCACAGCACACACCGTGGCTCAGGCAAGTCACCAAGTCGTCAGCCCCGGGCCTTTCCATTGCCACGGACTAAAGGAGGCCAGAGATGGGGTTGATAGCCAACACCCGGAGCACCAGGCAGTGAACTGAGCGCTAATCCCACACTGGTTCCCCAAAGCACAAGGGGCTGTCCTCCTCGTCTGCACCCCTGCCAGTGCTGATTCTTGGTTTTCAACCTTCAAATGCAATAAAGACTAAGGTTTACAACACGTTTTCTCCTGCAATCTTGGTGGATGTAAAAATCGTGAAGGTGGGATGCAGATCAAAGGCAGAGGAAAGCCACCTTGGCAGCTGAGCTCCGTTTCGGGTGGGGGACCCTCAAGGACAGCCACATTCTCTGCCTGGAGAGCAGTGAAGCCCATGGCCACACAGGTACCATGCCCCAACCCTGAGCCCCCAGAAGGTTCCCGCCCAGAGGCCAGGGAGCCTGCAGATCAAGCAGAAAGAGAACAGCCTTTAAGGGCTGCGTTCTCCATCAGCCACTGCAGGGACCCAGGAGACACAAACATCAGGACACACGTGTCACACACGTCCCGCTGACAACCACTCGCCCTCCACACCCTGAGGGAGCTGGGGCCAGGGTGCACCGTGGGCCTCAGAGCTGTGCTGCATCATGGGCACTGGAGGGCACATGCCCCCATCAGGCAAGGTGGGGAGAAGCAGTCCAAGGGACCCTTGAGGATGTGACAAGCCTTGGGAAGAGTAAGGCCAGATTCTGGGGCAGGGAAGAGATGATGGGCCCCATTAGGGAGCGTCTTCTAAGACGAGGACTTCCCTCCAGGTGAGCAAAAGGGCAAGTCCAGGGCACACTCAGTGCCCGGGAAGAAAGGACCGTGTGAACTACACCCAGGATCTGGGGAGCCCAGCGGGTCCCGGGATGTTTTCAGATCAACACTTCGGGTCAAGATCTGCCACACAAGCAGGTGGGAATGAGGGCAACCCTAACATTTCTTTCCAGCTCTGGGGCCACAACAGCACATCACACCCATCGCCCAATGGAAGGTGGCCGTTGCCCACATCATCCCAGATGACGACAACGTGAAGCTGGCGTGCCGCCACGGGCTGGGCCCTTGCTGCGTGCCAGGCGCCGAGCCTAGCACCACTCCTGCACTGTCCCAATGTCCACCATCTTTCAGGCTAGGTATCTGGCTCCTCCTTCTGTGTGGCACTTCAGCTAAGGTAACCCTGACAAGTTCATTCCCATCTAGAGAGGACAGCAACGTCTGGAGGGAGGGGGCAGGTGTGACACACTTTTGTCTACTCAGGGCCCACTCCGGGTCCCGAGAGTCAGCTCAGAATACTCTCACTGGGGGAAGGATCCAGGCCGCACTGCACAGTGCATTCACAAACAGGAAAACGCTGGCAACGAGGCTGGCAACACCTTGTCTTTCAGGTAGGTGGGGCGAGAGAGGCACTGAACATCAAGAGGCCCTGTACAGACCCCAAGCCTTCAAGACATTCAAACAAGACCCAATTTCCCTGAAGGGACCTCAGTATCCCCACCCACCGCCTCGTGACAGATGCTCCTGTCGTCTGAGCCCACCTTGCGTCCTTTGCACCTGGGCAGGTGAGCTGGCGCCTACCTGGGTGTTGATCTTCCAGGTGATCTCGCGGATGCTCTGGAACCACTCAAAGAGCTCCTCCACCTTGTCTGTGGCGAACTCCACCGGCGGGTCCCCCTGCTTCTTGGGCTCCAGGATAAAGACGAAGGACTTCTGGTTTTTCCCTTGTGGGGCTTTCACTTTGGAAAAAATGACAGCCGTCCCTGTCAGCTAGGAGCAGCCACCAGACCCAGACCCCACCCTCCCAGCCAAACCCAACCAGCTCCACTGTGTTCACAGTTGGCATGGACAGGGCGTCAACTCCGAACGAGACTGTGTCTGGACACTTCACCTCCATAACCGCTTAAGGGCTGCAGTGAGCTGCACAGTGTCCCCCAAAAAGAAATGCCAGGGTCCACATCCCTGGTGCCTGGAGATGTGACTGTCCTTGGAAACGGTCTTTGAGCATGCAGTGAACTTTAGGAGGAAACAAGGTGGGCCGAGCGATCTTGGGGTGAGAATCATCCTGGATCGAGTGTGGGCCCTGAACCCAATGACTGGCATCCTTGTGAGAGAGGAGAGGGAGATTTGAGACCCAGGGACCTAGGGGAGGAGGCCTAGTGACGACAGAGATAGAGACTGCCAGGATGCAGCCACAAGCCAAGGACACGCAGGATGGCCAGCAAACAAGCTAGGAGACAGGCACGCGACAGACGCACCCTCACGACCTCCAGAAGGAGACAGCCCTGCTGACGCCTTCATTTCAGACTCTGGCCTCCAATATCACGAGAGTAAATGTCTGTGGTAATTCGTTACAGCAGCCCCCGGACACTAATACGAGACGCACAGGACTTTCTACGTGAGGAGCTCAAGCGACAAGACAGAAAATGACAAGGACAGGGGCAGCTAGCGTCCCTGAGCTCCTACATGCTGGCAGATGGTGGTGTGAGCAGAGTCAATGCGTGGTGTCTTACTGAATTCCTTGCAGCTACCCAGGGGAGGAGGAGCTGCTGTTACACGAGTCCCATTTCACAGCAGAGGAAACTGGCTCACCGAGGGGAAGTAACACACAGGAGCACACACCTGGCTAAGCTGAGGCTCGCACCCGACCTGACCCCTCCTCCTCGCGCCTTGCTCTGCAGAGGGAGATGCCACAGAAGCATCGGTAAGTGCACACCGCATCCCAAGTCCCGCTCACCGGTCCCCTCCCCGTGGGACTCAGGCTCACACTTAGGGGCTCAGTCTTCTCATCTGTTGGCTGCAGCTAAGGCTCCCTCTCTCCCATCTGACTGACTGCATCGCTGAAGAACCAAGGAGGCAGGAAGCGTGGAGTGCAAAGTGCCAGCGACATAAGCAAGAAGGAGCCGAGGCTGCTGTCAGGCTCGGGAGACAGAGGCCCAGGCCACCGCTGGCAGGGCCTGGCCGAGGGCAGCCCAGGCTAACAGGCCAGCAGGACTTCCTGCAGGGAACCCCGGCCCGGAAGCATGGGCTGCTCAGAGAAGAAAACCCCTTTGGCGTTTGGACCCAAATGTCTCTCCTCACAGCTTCAGTGACTTGCTTGAAAAGCAGGCTGGAGGCCCAGGGACCCCCAAGGCAAAGCACAGCCCCATGGCCACTGTACTCGCCTGTGGGCTGTGGCCCTGCCCTCACTGCCCCGCAGGAAGCTGAGGTTCAGAGAGTGGCTATCACAGCAATGGAGGCAGCCCTGGCCTCAGAACCAGGACCCCACTCCAGGCTCCAGCTCAGCCTGGTCACATCCCTAGCACTTGGCAGAGACACCTGGGTAACAGACAGCTCACAAAACCACCACGGACGCTGCTGCTAACCACAGCGGCCGCCACTCCCCAGCGCCCCACTGCAGACTGTTCTAGCCCTTCAGAAGGCTTGGTGGTGGGCAAAGATTGCCACTCAGCCAGGGACCAAGCAGGCCTCAACAACACAGGTTCGATGGCCTGGGGACAGCCACGTCCCTGCTCGGGCAGGTCTGAAGGCTGGTTCTGGGGGGTCTGGATGGGACCCAGGCTCAAACTGCATGTGCACATACCAACATTATAGGTATTGAGGTCCAGGATCCCTCTGCAAAGAGACCCTAAAGGATTGTCTTCGATAATCTGTGAAGAAACAAGACATAACTCACTTTAGACTTAATGGGAATAATGAAAAGACACCAGGTTCCAGGACACCCCGTTTAGTGGACACTGCCTGCGAAACTGTTTAAAATGCATTTTCACTACAGGCTCTGTCCAGGGGGAGGGAGCAGAATGAGGAAGCCCGGAGCTGAGGAGGCACCGCGGGTTCAACACGTCACCCTCTCACACGTAAGATCGGGCCCGGCGGACTCTACCACAGTTTCCAAAACATATTCTCTGGGGCTCTGCTTCCCAGAACCCTCTTGACCCAGGTGTCTGTCACCAAGTACACAGAACGTGGTCTGTCCAAACCACGGGATAGGACTCAGCCAGCAAAGGAACCAAGTTCCGACACACACCATGATGGGGATGACCACAGGCCCAGACACAGGACGGCGTGGGGTCTGAGCCCACCAAAAGGACACGTCTAGATAACACAGACCAAAGGCACTGGGGGGGGCCGGGGGCGGGCAGTCACTGCTGAAGGGGCAGTGTCCGCTGGGGTGAGACACTTGCGGGGATGGACAGTGCTGACACCACAGGACCGTGACGGACGTCACTGAGGCGTGGCACGTGAAGATGGTTAAATTGTGGACAGCTCCGATGAGGGGACAGCGGTGCTCCGCAGTTAGGGTGGGGCCGGTGCCACTGAAGGGCACACGGAGAGACTGCGCACTGGGGCGGGGGGCTCCATGGTGTGCGTTCTCAAGTCAGGTCAGGGAAAGACAGCTGCGGTGGTCGCAGCCATACAGCGTGTAAACGTCACGCCATGAACCGTCCACGTGCAGAAGGCTGCAATGGCAAATGTTTTGTTACCTACATAATTACCACAATTAAAAAAAAAAAGATTTAAAATAGTAACCTTTCCTATGTTATCATCCCACAATAAAATTTACTGTAAAAAACAAAAACCTCCTAGACCACTATCTGGCCTGAGTATGAAACGGGGCCATTTTACAAACAGCTCAACAGCCTTCTGGGGCTCCCCACATCCACGAGAAGGACCGTCAGTGACCTGAGATCCACCCCTTCAGGACCCCTAGTGGAAGGCAGCCTTCCCATCTTGGCCCCCAGCGCACACACTGCCCCTGAGCCACGTGTCATAGCTGAGGCCTGTGCACCCTACCACGCCCTGACTGCCCTCTGCATCTGGCTGGTGCGCACTGTGGGGTGTACGCAGTGCAGCACGCACACAGGTGGGGTCACACCTCTGTCTCCGCCAAGTGCCCTCACTCAGTGTTCCCACCACCAAGCCTCTGGGAGGGCTCACCCCTGCCTCCCGTTGCCAGGCTCCTGCTGTGGTACTCTACCTTGACTTTGAGGGGCTCAAATGTCCCTTCCTGCAGGAAGCCTCCCCAGATGCCTTCCTCCTGGAAACTCACTCGGGCTCTCACGGGACCTTAACCTTCTCACTACCGAGATGCTGCCCTGGGCTCCAGCGCTGTCCTGCCAAGGCGGCTGCTCTCCCCGCCTTCTGGTGGAGAGGAGGCTGGTGCCCACAAACCAGGCTCTCAAGGTCACCAGGGAGGCCTCCTTTCGCCTTCTGGTTAGCAACGCTCACTTACACACACCAAGCACACCCCCTCCTCTGGCTGGCCCAACTAAACGCCCTTCACTTGTATGCTGCCATGAGCAAAGGACAAGTTCCCCGTCTAGCCGTTCGTTCCGGCTCCCAAGGGCCTGTCCTGCACACTCAGAGCCTTGCAGCCGGCACAACCTGACTGGAATGCGGCGAGCCTGGCATGGTGGCTTTCACGCGGTGCAACTTGGGGAACACTCGCCATTTCCCTGTCACTTTGTTCCCCTTGTTCCGGAGCTCCACTGGCATCAGAGCACAGCACGCACCAAACCTGCCCCGAGACAGCTCAGCAGGCACCTCAAGAAGCAGACCAGCCAGTCCCTTACCACGACCGAGACCCTTAATGTGATGAGCGAGACCCTTAATGTGACGACTGAGACTTACCGCGACGACCGAGACCCTTATCGTGACGACCGAGACCCTTACCGTGACCACTGAGACGCTTAACGTGATGACTGAGACCCACCTGCTTCTCCAACTCCTCCACGTCAACAGTTGAAATGTCCTCCACGTAGTTCGATGGGAAGTACTGCTGGATTCGGGCCCCGTAGTCCCCTTTCCACCTATGGAAAGATGGTGGTCTCAAAGGGCCTTTACCGGGCGGCATGAATGCTCCATTCCTAATGGCTGAGCTCAGGGGGTCAGGCAGGGGCCGCGTGACTGACGGACACGGGCACTGCTGTGACAGTGGGCATCTCACAGGGTCCTGTGCTTTTCTGGCCGTGAGGAGCAACTGGGGTCCCCTTCCTCCTCCCACATGGTCTCAATGTCTTCCCACAGGCCCTGATGGCACAGATGGTTAAGCACTCAGCTGCAAGCTGAAAAGCTGGCTTGCTGGACTCACCCAGAGGCACCTCCGAAGACAGGCCTGGTAATCTGCTTTGCAAAGGCCACAGCCCTGGTTTACTCTGCACACAGGGGTCACCAGCCGTTGGAGCTGAGTCACTGGGAACTAACAACACTTGGCCAAACACGCTGCGATGAAATGCTCCCGAGCTTTAAGAAGTCCGAAGCCACAGGAAGCAAAAGCTCCCCTCTAAATCACACACACACATGCACACACACGCACGCACACACACATGCACCATCGGGAAGGGCGGAGTGCCATGACGAAGATCTCAGAGGCCGGAAGGCGTGGGATCAAGCCCCACCACCAGCTATGCGCAGTGCTCCAGGCCCTCTGTCCATAAAATGGACTGATGACAGCACCTCCACGGAGTCTGTGAGGACCAGAGTTGCTGACAATGAGTAGGGAGGCCTGAGGCAGAGTGGAGGCCTCTGAATCGTGGTGCTGGTGAAGGGCACCGAACACACCGCTGGCTGCCAGAAGGATGAAAACTGACCCGCGGCAAGTACAGCCGTAGCACTCCACAGCAGGCGGAATGGCCAGGCTTCATCTCACCTACTCTGGGTGCTTTGTCAGAAGGGGCCAGTCCCTGGAGAAGCAACTGGTGCTCCTTCAAGGAGATGGTCAGCGAAAAGAGGGAGAGCCTCAGTGGGACAGATTCATGCAGTGGCCACAACAATGGGCGCAAACCAGCGACAACTGTGAGGACGGCGCAGGGCTGTGCAGTGCTGCGTCCTGTGGCACGAGGTCACCGGGCACCACTTCTGGGGTCTTCCTTCTTCACCGTCCACCTTTCGCGTGCATGTGAGGTGACTGAAAAGACCATGGCTTGGGTCAGGTGCACCTTAGTCTCCAAAGTGACATCTTTGCTCTTTAACACTGAAGAGGTTTTTGCATCAGATCGTTCCAAAGCAATACGTCGTTCAATCGCTTGACTGCTGCTTTCAAAGATGTTGGTTGTGGATCCAAGTCAAATGAGATCCTTAATAACTTTCGTCTTTTCTCCATTTACCATGATGTTGCCTATTGGTCCAGTTGTGAGGATTTTCATCTTCTTTATGCTGAGTTATAATCCATACTGCAGACTGTAGTCTTCAGTCTTCATCAGTAAGTGCTTCAAGTCATCCTCCCTTTCAGCAAGCACAGTTGAATCTGCATATCTCAAGTTAACAAGTCTTCCTCCAATCCTGATGCCATTTTCTTCTTCATATAGGCCAGCTTCTCACATTATGTGCTCAGCATACAGATTGAGTAAGTCTGCTGAAAGGATACAACCCTGACACACTCCCTTCCCGATTTTAGACCTTAGCACGCCCTTGTTCTGTTTGAATGACAGCCTCCTAGTTGATGGACAGGTTCCTCAGTAAAAGGAGCTGCTATTTCATGATACGACACATGATACATTTGTTATTGGCTGCTGCCGAGCGGCTCCACAGAGTTTTAAAGGCTGTGATCTTTCGCTCCAAGGCACCTCTGGGGGGGTTCAGCCTGTCAGCGAGCAGCTGAGCACTTAACCATCTGCGCTACGTACAACAGAAACCTTTATTGTCGTCTGTGCACGCTCCTGAATGGCGTGTACACCAAGCTGCCTTCCCAGGGACTGTACGCAGTAATCAGAGCCAGCTCGGGACACAGACGAAGGCCACAGAAGCTCTTACCACCAAGAAACCACAGTTAAGCTCACACACCCTCTGGTCCAGCACGCGTGCAGCCTTACCAGCCCCCGGGCTCCTTGGAGACGTTGTGGATGAGGGCGCCGCGGCAGAAGCTCAGCTCGTCACTCCGCTTGGCCCGGTAGTCATACAAAGCTTTCACGGTTCTCTGAGGCTTTCAGGGGAAACAAGGAGGAAAAGGTCAGGATGGACAACAGGAAGAGAGGTAGCACCTGCATCTGCTCGTATCGTTGGGAGCTCTGGTAGTGCAGTGCCTAAGGTATCTGACTGCTGACCAGGAGGCCGGAGGTTCAAACCCTCCAGCCACTCCTCGGAAGGAAGGTCGGGCAATCTACTTCTGTAGCGATACCACCTCGGAAACCTGAGGTGGGGTCCCTATGAGTAACAATCGACTCCATAGCAGTGAGTTTGGCTTTTGGTTTTATTAGGGAGCACAGGCTTCAGGCCAAGGTTAGAGCGACATCTGCTGGTAAGTGTCTGGAACTGCAGGTCATTACGACCTAAAAAGTCACCAAGGAGTGGGGATAGGAGCTGGCCTGGTCAGAGCCTACGCACCTCGGGGTGACCCAGTTTGGCTCGGTTTCCTCAAGAAAGAAAGGACATGGATTTTTCACTCTGTCCTGATCGCCACCGTGCATGGCTGTCCTCAACCCAGAAGCCTGATTTTCAGGGACAGTAGCATTTTCTGGGGTCTTGCCCGTTTCTGTCTAGGTCGGGGTCCCCCAAACTAGGCTCCTGCAGGAAGGACACTGATACTTTTTAAGAGGAACTGGGATGCTCTTCTATGAAATTCCTCAGAAGGTGGTCTCTGTTCATACAAACAAGACAGAACGACCTTGCCCAGTGTGGCGTTTTTCTTTAATGACTGTCTTAATGCCTGCTTCTTGGCAGGCATGAGTCCTGGTACAACGAACGCCCACAGAACAAGCGGACATCAACAGGAACCTCATAGTGTCAGACCTGCATACGCCAACAGGCCGCCACCCCAAGGAAATAGGAACACGAGTTTTACCAGGATTCAGTTAAAAGCAAGGCTGTTGACTCAGACCCCTAGGTTCAAATCACTGCTCTTGCCCTTACTAGCTTGCGACCTGAGGCTCTGTGGACTTCAAATTCTCCATCATCTGTTAAATGGGAATTAAACTCTCCCATACTTTACATAACAATAAAAATAACAATAGCTAACCTTTCTTGAGTGTTTACTATGTAAAGCCCTGTTCTGAGCCTTCTACCTATAGCATGTCCTTAAACCCTCACAGTAACCCTGAGAGACAATTAGTCTTATCATCCCCATTCACAGATAAGGAAACCAAGTGTTCATAACATGCCTTGCCCAAGGTCAACCAGCTGTTAAGCAGCTGAGCCCAAACTCAGTAAGCTGATGTGAACAACTGCCACGGTTGAAGGTGTTCCACAGAAATCAACAAAGGTTCCAGCAGCTCTGCTCTCAAGGCTCCACACCAGAGGCTAACCAGAACTCCTGGCATCCTCCTCCCGACCTGCAGATGGGACCACTCTACACACGATGCCTGCTTCAAGGCTGGACACGAAGCCTGACCTACAGGTCACTGTCAAGCCCCAGGCCTCAAGGAAGGTACAGCCAGTGGCAGACAGGGAGCCACCTAATGGCTTTCACGAAGATCAACACTCCAGCCAGGTGGTAGGAGAGGTCCTCCTGTCAGGTCCCTAAGCTACAGGGAAACAAGCCATCCGTGAGATGGCCAAGCAGGCGTGTGACACAGGAAGGTGATCAACAACAGCACAGACCTTGGGACCAGACCCCCTGAGTCCAAAGTCGAGCTCCACACCTGTACGGGATGAACACTGTCCCCCAAATTCATGTGCACTGAGCACCTGTGATTGTGACTGCACCTGGAAATAGGGTCTCTGCAGAGATCACCAAGGTACTGGTGTCTTTGTAAGAAGATGACAGGACACAGAGACACAAAAAGGACACTGCCGTGTGACAGCAGAGACAGAGACTGGAGTGAGGTGTCCCCACTGCCAGCAGCCACCAGAAGCTAGAAGGGAAATGTGCAGCCAATGTTCCCTGAGAGCTTCCAGAAGGAACCAACCCTGCTAACACCATGAGTTCAGACTTCCAGCCTCCCACACTGTGAGGAAGCAGGTTTCTGTGTTTCACACTGCCCAGTTTGTGGCACGTTGTTACAGTAGCCCGAGGGAACTAACATGAGCTATGTGACTCAGCTGTGAGTCAACCTTCAGTCCCTCAGTTTCCTCTTTTGTGAAATGGAGACAAAAATACTTCACTGTGAAGAGTAAAGAGCTGACCACCATCAAGTGCCTAGAACCATGCTGGGCAGGTATGACCTGGTATTGCAAATCTAATCACTCCAGCTTGAAATACCTACCTGAGAGAAATCACACGAGACACCCAACGCCTTACACCTGACCAAGTTAACTTTAGTATTAACTAAAAGAGCCAGACCCAAAAACAACTCAAATGGTCACCAACTGGGAAATAGCTAAATAAATAACAGAACAGTCACCCAGCACATTCTGCAGTATTAAAATAAGTATTTTTCTCTTTTTTGAGTTAGAGCTCCAATCTACGTATTTCATCTAAATCACTGTTGGCCACATCTGACAAACAGGGTCATTGAATGATCAACAGAGGAACCACAGGTGACCCAGCACCAGTGAGCAAAGAGTGACATGGCAGGCGCCGAGGGCTGGCGGCGGTAAGCTGCGCCCCTGTGAGCACAGGCCAGAGCAGGTAACAAACGCAGACAGCCACTGTGTCAGGGAAGAGAGGGCTGCTCCTTTTTGTTTTCCCCAAAACACGGGCTTCAATGCTTCAGTCCTAACGGTAGTGACCGCTTTGAGGCCCTCGTCACAGACGGGCAGCTCGACACCACGTGCAGCACACCAATCACGATGTGCTGACCTCGTGGCTGACCCTGTCCACGACCCCTTCAAACGTGGTTTAGCGCCACGCTCTGTGACCTGGGACATGCCACGTGACATAGCCAGATTCTGCTCTCTCGAAGGGCAACGACAGACTGCGCTGAAGAGTGGCTGCCTTGGAGAGGGGGTGTGTGCTTCTGTTTACTACAGTGTCCACCAAGGCCTGCCGTCTCGCCAACCTGAGGCACAACACCTGTCGCCACTTATCACCGGACTGGCACTGCACTGCTGTCACTGCAGAGTTAAGACTTTGTCACGGATTGAACTGTGTCCCCAGAAAGTTGTGCCGAAGTCCTAACCCCTGGTATCTGTGACCAGGACCGTGTTTGGAAATAGGGTCTTTGAAGATGTCATCAGCTAAGCTGAGGACACTCCAGTGCAGGGTGGGCCCTGATCCAACCTTAGTGCTGTTTGTGCAGAGAAGAGACAGACAGACAGGGGAGGAGGGCCGAGTGAAGTGGATCTACAAGCCAAGGACACCACCAAGCACCTGGTCTACCCAAGGCTGGAAGGACCAGGACGAACAGGGAAAACATGACCCCGCTGGTGCCAGGAGTCTTGACGTGCACCCTCCAGATGTGTGGGAAGACCCACTTCTGTGGCTTCAAGTCCCCCAGTCTGTGGTATTTGGTGACAGCAGCCCTAGGACACTCAGAGACATTCTCAGGCTTGGCCTGCTGCACACGTTCACAGCACCCCCCTCCCCCAGCCTTTATGGATGGCGGAGTCTGCAGCCCATTTTAGGAAATTATTCCTAAAAGGTAAAAGAGAAAGAGGGGCCCAAGCCCTTCAAAATAAATTGAGCCCACTATTGCAGCAAACAGCTAGAGGGAGGCCGTGAGGTGACTCCAGCAGCCTGCGTCCCACTGCGCACCTCGCGCCTGGGGACAAGCACTGTTTGCCGCTCGTGACATCATGTGCTGTTAGCTAACGGCAGACGGTGTTTCACTGCTCGAACATGGCCCGTGCACACACAGCTCCGTTTGCCCGCACCTTTCCAAGACTTCACCTCTTACCAGAACAGATCTGCAGGGGCCTAAGGTTACAACTTAAAAAAACAAAACGGGTCTCTGGGCTTCTAGCAGGCCCACAGCAGGCCCCTTCCAGGCTACGGGGTGCACGCTAATCATGTGCCAGATGGTCCCCCAAAAGGAAGGCTCGCCATGGTTGTTCCTCCTCGGGCTCAGGCTCAGCGTGAGATGAAGCCAGAGGAGGAGGAGCAGGGGGCTGGTGGTGAAATCCAGCCCCCCCCCCCACACTGCCTGAAAGCGCACACCAGAGGCGGGTGGGAAGGAGCAAGAGTGTGTGCACAGCAAGGCAGCCAGCGGACCGGGCGGAATCAACACGACGGCTCCGTGAGCAAGCAGGAAAGAAACACCAGACGCCTTTTAATTAGAAGCCGTTTGGCCTCAAGGTGGTTCATCAAATCTCAGAACTGCAGCTCAGTCCCGTTTCCCCAGAATCCCATTAACGTGCTCCCTGAAACTATGTCACACTGTCAGTCATTCCCACACCACCCAAGAAAAGATCCATGGCCACGTTTGCCTCAGCAGTCCCTTGCCCTGTTGTAACTGCAGCGAGCATGGGCAGGACACGGAAGCCATGTCAATACAGGAAGGCATGTGACCCGAGGGGGCGGGTGGCACCATACCGTGGAAGGGTTGATTTCACTGGGATCCACATACATCCTGCTCACATCATAGAGGGAGCTGATATCTCTTTCCTGAAAAAAAGAGCAAAGAAAAGTCAACACAGCCATCCATGCTCTTGGGGTAGTATTTACATGCCCCAAGGGTTCAGGCGCCCCACTGGTTTCATAGGCTTTCAGGTCCCAGTTTTCGTTCGACTGTGAGCCAAAAGGCTGGCAGTTCAAATACACCCCGCCATGCTGTATCAGGAAGACCCGGTGATCTGCTTCTGTACGGATTACCGCTAAGAAAACCCGAGGGAGCCCTCAAATAGCAACAGGCTCAGCTTTGACCTGTCCTTAGGTGGACTAGCTGAGAGCTCAGTGAGTTGACTTGTGGCCTGTGGGTAGAGACAGGAAGCAGCTATACAGTTCTCTGAAATTTGGGAGCTTTCTCCAAAACTGAGCAAGGCTCCTCTCCTGGCCCACACTGCTGGGCACTGTGCCCCACTGTAAAACCAGTCCCACACGGAGACCCGCCGGCCTAAGGGCACTAGCATATATTGCCCGGGAGCCCACCACATGCACCTCTGCTAACTCCCAGGTCAGTGGCCTCGAAGGCAGCCATGGTGACGGCATCTACACCAGGGCCATTCTCCAGAGAGCTGCGTAATACTGCCCAATGCCTTCTCTCCCGGCTCTCTGGGCTCCTCACTCAGCCCTGGCCACGGTGGCCTCCGTTTCTCAGGCCCTGGGGCTGTACCGTGGTCGCTGCCACCGCCCAGAACCTCCTTCCCTCCCATGTCGCGATGGCTGACGCTCTCCTCCCCTGCAGGATGGGGCTCCTGAAGGAAGCCCTGTGACCCGCAGCGCACCATCGACTGCGGCCCCCACCCTCACCATGCCATCTGTTTGCTGTCCTGCATCATAACCCACGTTATGTGAAATCAGCTTAATTACACAATTGCATGTGATGTGTCTCCCCACCCTACAACCTACAGACACCATCCTGCAGTCCCCCACCCCGAGTCCAGAACCGTTCCTGGCACCCAGTTCATGAAGCCATCTAGCGAGCATGGAGACACGGTCATCAGATGGTGTCCCTCCACGCCAAACCTGCCGATGGCTGGGAGGGAAAGCTCGCATCTTACAAGAGCCCACCAGGCCCCATACGATCCACTCCCTACGAGCCCCATCCCCATTTAGTCCTGCTCCCACCGGTCAACCACTGGCCTCCAGCCGCTGGCTTCCGGTCTGTGACTCCAGCCACCCGCTCACTTCAGGCCTTTTGGGTTTGCTTTTCGTTCTTTCTACAGCACAACCCACTCCTCCACCTCCTCCAGGGTCTCCGTTCCTCGGTGAGGTCTGCAGCCCCCGCTCTGCACACGGCAGCCCCTCCCAGCGCACCACGCCAGCTGTGTTCCTAGCACACGCCGCCGGCCCCTCTGTATTTTCATGCATCGCCTCCTTCCTCCAGCAGAGGGCAGGGTCTCCACTGTGTCTATTTCGCAGCCCGAGGACGTCGGGCAGTGCTGGCCACGCAAGCGCTCACAGGTTTGCTGAGAGAACAGATGAACTGTAACCTCAGACAAGACCTGCTCCGCTGCCACCCGCAGCCCCCGGGGGCACCACCCACCATGTTGTAGCGCTCCAGCAGCTCGGGGGTCACGGGGTAGCGCAGCTTCATCTTGCGGTAAAGCGCGTGCTTCTCGTAGTAGCTGACCAGCTCCACCAGGCTCTCAAAGTAGGCCGAGGTCCCCAGCACGAAGTGCCGGCCGTCCCGGTTGATACGGCAGTGCTTCACCTTCCCCCTGGCCCTGGACGGGAGACCACACGAGTCAGACACTGAGGCCCCGGCAGCCAGACTGCGGCTGTACAGTCCCTCGGGTGAAAAGCAGCCCAGCTGCCCACCCATAGGGACCAGTGCAATGAACAGGGCACGGCCCTCCCACGGAGACAGCGCTGAGACCAGTCGCTGACCAGTCGGCACCGACGCGAGGCACCCCCACGAGTCAGAGGAGACCTGTGCTCCACACGGGTTCCAACGGCTGACTTTCCACACGCAGAATGCCAGGTCTTTCTTCTAAGGCACTCCAGGCAGATCTGAATCCCCAACCCTCTGGTCAGCAGGTAAGGACATTAACAGTTTGCACCTCCCAGGGACTCCAAGATGGCAGAAGAATCAACAGGAGGTCCCAGACAGGAAGAAAAATGTGTAACGAGACTCAAAATCATGAAGACCAGGCTTACTGGTCTGACAGACTTGGGTCTAACCCCCGAGACTAAGGCCCTTGGAAACCCGTCAAGCCTGGAACTCAGCTCATCCTTGTGGCTCAGCCAAACTACAGACAGGCCTATGCGGCGACCACCGCCACCAGAGACGTGCCCGCTCCTCAGAGCCATCGACCACAGGAGGTCAGGAGGGCCGCATCTGCCCGGGACAAAGCCCAGGAGGCAGGAGGGGCTGCGAGAGGACTAAAGGGAATGGAAACACAGGGAGGGAGAGGGAAAAGTGCCCTTACAATGGGAGACAGCCATCTATGTCACAAAAGTCTACCAACTATTGAACAGAAAACCAATCTGCTCTGTAAACTTCCACACAAATCACAGTAAAAACCTTTTTAAAAAAGAAATACTGCTGAGAGGCTATAGAGCCAGCCCCTCCTGCCCGATTCCCTCTGCCCCAAACACACGGACTTGTTTGGGGACATCCCAGGTGTTTAGATCAGGGCTCGGCAAACCGCGGCCCATGGTTCAGCCTCCTTGCTGGCTGTTTTTGTAAATAAAGTTTTATTGGTACACAGCCACGCAGATTGGTAGCATACTGCTGCCTCCATGGCAAGCTGAGTAGTTGCAATGGCAACCATACGGCCCACAGAACCTGAAACATTTATTCTCCAGGCTGGGTTCTGCTCCAGAACTCTTGGGCTGAATCCCCAGACCTTGAGACCTTACCTCCACCTAGTACAACAATGGATTTTTTTTTTTTTTTTTGTTCCCCCAAAAGGGAAGCAAACCTTTCATTTCTTCATTTGAAACAAGAGGCGGGGGCAGGGGACCTCTTCAATCTTACTACCTTTGATCAGCAAGAGCAGAAAACAAGTTTTGACCCTAACTTTACAGCCAAGGGGGAGTCTTTTGAGAAACACCTAAAGGCTTGGTTTCCATGTGTGAACCGTTCACCTTCTCACCACTCTGTCCTTCAGAGATTCATGTTTTCATTGTTTTTAAAAATATGCATTCGGGTGGACCATTGCTTTAAACAGTCCCTTAAGAACACACACCAGAAGCCTTCTGCTTCAGCGGCTTACGTGCAGTGATATTTTATTCGTTTAAATATTTATTTAAAAAAAATACTGCAGAGCGGAGAAACGAGGTGCAGATCGACACTCGAGTGGGAGACCATTTGTGTTAAAAACACAGAATACAACACCCACAACACACAGTGGTCTCTAGAGTTTCCATCCAGAACATGTTTCCACACAGACACACGTATGTAACTACAGTTTTTAAAGATTGTCCAGATGGGCACACAGTTAGGAAACTTCCTGAGCAGAAGGACTGAAGGGAGCTTTAAGCCTCTCTATAACGTTTTAATTTTTTATAAGGAGAATATATTCACATAATATTTATGGTATTAAAAATTAATTTTATAACTTTCTACAAAAGCTCTCTGGGCCCTGGGGTGTTGAGGTCGACAGCAGAAGTCAGGTTCTAGCTCTTATGTGACTAGGCGAGTGACTCGGTTTCCTCATCCCCACGGGTGGGGAGGCAACACCCTGCCTCCAGGGAATGTCAGGCTCCCGGGTGTGTTGGGCGATCCTGCCTCAGCCCTGAGCACGGTGTCTGACCCACAGCAGGGACTCAATGGGGGAATGGTCTACAAGACACGAGGACCAGCGGCCACGGAGTGGCTATGACCTGTGGCACCCCCATGTGGGTGTGAGTAGAACTGCACTCCACAGGGTTTTCAGTAGCTGGTTTTGGGGAAGTCAGTCACCAGGCCCTTTTTCTGGGGCACACACACCCTTGCTGTTCACAGGTGAACATGGTAACAGTCTGCATCACCCAGGAGACTCCCTTGCAACATACAAGCCAAGCCAAACCAGTCATCTTCCCTGGGAGGAAGAATTCAAAGAGGAGGTGAGGAGCAAGGGCAGCAGAGTAAGTGGCTCCTTCCAACCTCCCGGAGTGCTGCTGTAAGCCAGCGGACACCAGGGCTCGAGGTCCGAGCCCCCCCAAGAAGCTCTCACCCCACCAAGGCCCGCCTCCCACAATCACACCCAGGCGCCCACCTCATCTCTTCAGACGGATGTGAAGGCAGATGCCGCCCCTCCTGTGGAGACCCACCAGAAGTTCCCTCTGTGTACCAGAGCCTAGAACACTGCCTGACATACAGGAGGTACTCTGGAAACGTACGTGGGAGGAGGAAGCGGGAGGGGGAGGGGTTTTAGAGGCGGAGAGGGTGAGTCTGCAATTCTGACTAGCTGAGGACCAGCCTGTGTGACTCTAACAGGTCACTGAACCTCTCTGGACCTTCCTTGCAGTAACTGGACCTATCCCCCAGAAGCGGTAGTAGGGTCACTAAGACGAGGCCCAGAAGGGAGTCCGACGTCCCCGGCAGGTACAAGCAGTTAACACACTCGGCTTCTAACACAAGGCCGCAAAGACCTCCTTCTGAAAACTCCGTCTCGGGAAACTCTCCAGAGCACACCTGTGCTCTGACACCCACAGGGTCACGTGTGTCAGCACCGACTCAGCAGTAATGGGCAGAAGGGAGCCCGGTGAGTGGAACAGTCCTTACAGCCCACCCGGATCAGGATCACTGGGGTGAAATTAAAGCAGAGAGCCACAGTCCTAGAGGGGATGGTCCCTATGGCCTGCTCAGGGGCTGGGTGGCAGCTGAGGGTAGGAGGAAACCAGATCTATAACATCATGGATCAGGGCTGCCCAGGTTCAAATCCCATCTCTGCCACATCCTGGCTACACACTCCAACAAGTTACTTAACCTCACTCTGCCTCCGTTTCCTCCTGTGAAAAGCAGGGCTCGTGGTAACTGTGACCCCACTGATCGCTGGAAGATGCAATGAGCTTATCTAAAACACGCCATTCCAGAGGCTATCTACAGGACACAGACCAGCGCCCGGCACACGGAAACACCCCACCAGCGTAGGGAGCGTTTGCTATCATTTGTCTCAGTTGTCAACACTAGGCGAAGGATGCTATGTGGTAAGAGCTCCAGGTCTGAGTGAAGCCTACACCTGCCACGCCCCTCCGTCCTCTGCCTGCCCCGAGCTTCCTCTGGGGAGCGTGGAGCCTGCTCTTCCTGTTACCTGAATGTGATGGCGTAGGAGTCAGCACCTTCTCGCTTCCGGACCAGGAAGGCCCCGTCACGGGGCACCCTCATCAGCATGTCCTCCGCCTCCCCACGGCTCAGCCCGTCGTAGTACCACCTAGGGCAGAGGGTGGGAGAGAGGCCAGGTGGGAGAGGCTGGGGGGCTGGGCAGGACACAGCCTGGTAAGAGCTCGGCCCAAAGAGGGCTGAGGACCTCGCCAGGTGACAGAGCTCGACCCACAGAGGGCGGAGGACCTCACCAGGTGAGAGAGCTCGATCCACAGAGGACCTCGCCAGGTGAGACCCATCTGCAGGGGGTAGATCACCACCAGGTGAGAAGGGCTGCAGGGCACCATCCACCCTGGAGGGCAAGTGGCCTGCACACTACTATGGGTATCACACAGTGGCCTTCCCCTCTGTTGCCAAAAACTGTCATTTTTGAAGCAAACACCACAGCACAGCATGGGTGAAACCTGCGTACAGTGGGTCTGCTCAGAGCACAGGACACGAAGCCACGTGTCTACCAACCAGGCCAGGACTGAGGGGCCAGTGTCAGACATGTCTCAGACAACCTGAGGCAGAGAACCCAGGCAGCGGGGCTTGTTGTGCTGGGGGTGGGGGGAGTTGATTATTTTGTAAAATGTAAGAGTCAATTATAAAAACCAATGACAAAGGTGAGGACATTTAGAAGTGGACAATGGTGATGGTTATACAACATGGTGAATGTAGTTAATGTTGCAGAACTATACATGTGCAAATGGCTGAGATGGCAAATGTGTATATATATATGTATACATACACATGTGTACACACATATACACATGTCCACATATGCATGCATATACACACATATATACCCATGCATACATACACATCTATATACATACAAATATACATGTATGTGCACGCACATATACACACACATACATACACATATATGTTGTTGTTGTTAGGTGCCACTGAGTCAGTTCCTACTCACAGTGACCCTATGCACAGCTGAACGAAACCCTGCCCAGTCCCGTGCCAGCCTCACGATCCTCACTATACCTGAGCCCATCGTTGCTGCCGCTGTGTCAATCCATCCTGTTGAAGGCCCTCCCCTTCTTCGCTGACCCTCCACCTTACCAAGCATGACATCCTTCTCCAGGGAATGGTCCTCTCTGACAACATGACCAAAGCAGGTGAGATCAAGTCTGGCCATTCTTGCTTCCAAGGAGCGTTCTGGCAGCACTTCTTCCAGAACAGATTTGTCAGTTTTTTTAGCAGTCCACGGTCCTTTCAGTAGTTATTCTTCACCAACACCGTAACTCAAAAGCATCAACTCTTCCTCGGACTTCCTTATTCATTGTCCAGCTCTCACGTGCATACGAGGTGACTGAAAATACCACAGCTTGGGTTAGGCCCACCCTAGTCTTCAGAGTCATCTCTGCTCTTCAGCACTTTACAGGATTCTTTTGCAGCAGATTTGCCCAGTGCAACACATCATCTGATTTCGTGACTGCTGTTAACGTTGACTGTGGAACCAAGAACTAAGAAATCTTTGACAGCCTCCAGTTTGCCCACAGAATCTTTCAATATTCCAACTGGAGGCCTGAATTTTTCCTGCAATTCTTTCAGTTTGAGAAATGTCGAGTGTGTTCTCCCTGTTGGCTTTCTAAGTCCAAGTCTCTGCACATTTCATGATAATAATTGACTTTGTCTTCTTGAGCTGCTCTTTGAAATCTTTTCTTCAGCTCTTTTATCTTGTTATTTCTTCCATTTGCTTTAGCTACTCTCCGTTCAAGGGCAAGTTTCAGAGTCTCTTCTGACATCCATTTTGGTCTTTTCTGCCTTTCTTGTCTTTTTAATGACCTTTTGCTCTCTTCATGGATGATGTTCTTGATGTCATCCCACAATTCCTCTCATTTTTGGTTACTGGTGCTCAATGCATCAAATCTATTCTTCAGATGATCTCTAAATTCAGGAGGGATATAATCGAGATCACATTTTGGGACTCATGGACTTGTTTTAACTATCTTCAGCTTCAACTTGAATTTGCATTTTGAGTAGTTGACGGTCTGTTCCACAGTCAGCTCCTGGCCTTTCTTGGGCTGTACATATTGAGCTTCTCCACCCCCTTTCTACAGACGTAGTCAATCTGATTCCTGTGTGTTCCATCTGATGAAGTCCACGTGTACAGTTGCCGCTTATGTTGTTGAAGAAAGGTATTTGCAAGAATAAGTCATTGGTCTTGCAAAATTCTATCACGTGATCATCATCTTCCAGGACTCTATCGGACCATGTTTCAGTGCTATTCGTGAAGTTTTCCAGTACTGCATCAGACAGCGCTTCACTTCTACGCATAAGGCTTTCACTGGCCAATTCTCTGAAAAGTGGAGGGCCCCTTCCATCTTCTGAGTCTGTCTCAGTCTGGAGTTCTGCTGAAACCTGTCCACCATGGGTGACCCTGGTGGCATTTCCAACACCAGTGGCATAGCCTCCACCCTTATAGCAATACATAAGACACAACAGTATAACAAACTGACAGATGACTGGTGGACACATATACATATACACACACAGACATATTTATACACACACACATATACATGCATGTACATGTATACATACACACATACATATATACATGTATGTGTATATGTATTTATATACATACATGCATGCATTTATATAAATGCACACCCATATATACACATGTACACATGCATATACACAGTTACATACATATATGCATGCACTTATATATACATTATACACATATGCATACATATGCATCTTTATACACACATACATGCACAGCCACACATATGTGCATGCATACATATACACATATGTATGCATCTATATTTACATATATATCCATATAGTACATGTATGCAAACATTTATACACACATATGTACATACATACGTTGCACACTGAATTTTTTAAGGCAATCATATAGGTATGCAGACAGGAAAGCGAAAGTATAAGTTACTGCGTTGGTGAGACTTCCTTAGAACAGTGCCTTTCGAAAGCATTCTTCTGCAGAAACGTTTGTTCTTTCTCTCTACGGCGCGTTAACCCTTTGCAGGGCACAGCTGACACGCTCTCACTACTACAGAAAATTGGAGGGGGACCTTCACAATTATGTTTCCTTGTTTTCAAAACAAACAAAAGGTGCCTTGACAAACAGAGATACCACGAAAAAAGTCCCGACATCCGAACATCAAAGCCAAGTTGTCAGGATTACAGGATAAAGTAGAGGAAAGGGGAAGACAGGAAAGGGGAGATCGCGGAGAGCAGCGGCGGTAACGGGCAAGTGGGGCCCCCTGGCGAGGGGACGCGGGAACGCAGGCCCCGGACGCCGTGCGCTGCGCACGGCCCCTAACACCCGGCAGCGCTGCTGGGGCCTGCGACACTTACGGCTTGGACTCGTGCGGGTTGGGGTTGGGCACGGGGTCGGTAAGCCGCAGCTCGAACTCGGCGCAACGCAGGTGGTTCTCGCGGTAGTGCTGGATCAGGGCGTAGATGCTGCTGAACATGAGGTTGTCCGTCAGGAAGTACTTCAGGGTCCCGCCCTCCATGGTGGAGCGGATGCGGCAGTGCTGGACCCGGCCGGACCGCCTGCAGAGACGGGCGCCGTGAGTACGTGAGAACGGCAGAGCCGCCGGCCCCCAGCCCAGCCGGCTTCCCGGGAACACCCGGAGGGGCAGGCAAAGCAGGGCCCCCAGGGGGCGCACGACGCCTCTGGCCCCACAGGCCTTCCCTCTGGTCTCAGGCAGGCTGGGGCTTCCCTGTGGGCTGCCCTCGGTCCCAGCGCGTTCTACCGGGCCCCCTACCACCCCAGCTGAGAGGGAGCAACCCAAGGCAGGAGGCGTACCAGAAGGAGAGGGTGTAGTCCTTGGGGTAGGTCTCGCTCTCCCGCACCAGGAAGGTCCCATCTTTGCCCCCCGACTCGGTGCAGTACTCCTGCAGAAGCTTCTCTGCACTCGTCCTCTTCTCCACCTTTTTGTGGAACCACTTCTCCCCAAAGTGCAGCTCTGTGGGGGGCGTGTCCTGGGCCACAAAGGGCAGAGGTTTCCGTAAGCTAAGCCCCTGGACCAGAACCCAGCATCACCCAACAGGCCCTCTGGCATGTTATGAGCCTCCCTTGCTTGCTGAGACCAGAGAGACAAAGGTTGGCCCCTGCTGGCTCTCACCCCAAGAGGTGTGGGAAGACAGCAGACAGTGGTTGCCTTGTCTGCCCCCTGCTCCTGAGAGCTCCCATATATGGCGACCCAGGCAAGGGGTCCATGGAGTCCCTCAATGCTATCCTACGCTAAGTCTGCGAGTTTCAAAGCCTTAGCAGCTGTGCTCAAGAAACAGTACCAAGGACGGCCCACAGCTGAGGGACAGCAGGAAAGCCCGGAACCAGGCCAGGGCTTGGGGTTGGAGGGGCATCCACTGTTCCCCGTTATCCCCAGGGGGCACAAGCCACCACCTAAGGCTGGAGAGGCCCTTCAGAGAGCCTGGAACCCTACTGGTCAAGCATGTGGGCCAGCCAGCCAATCAGAATAAAGTAGGCAGGGCCTTGGTACCCAGAGAGGACCTCCACTCCAGCCTACTGGAGGCCCAGAGACTCAGTGGAGAAGGTCCTCAGGGGTCCTGAGGAGCAGCCTGGCTCAGGAGGCCAAGAGCGAGCAGCTGGGGGCCCACCTACCTGGGGCAGCTCCTCCTCCACCGCCTGCTCTATGTCGTCACTGAAGGACAGCTTGGCATCAGCAATGGCGCAGTAGTGCCGGGTCCACTTCTACACAGGAGACCACAATTAACCTTCCTGGGGAGGCCCTGGGAGGCCCCCAAGTCTCCATCCCATCAACCCTGGGCCCAGTACTGCTCCAACTCCGTCTGGTGTCATGTGACCATGCCAGGTTCCTAGACCTTGGTGGTAACTTCACTGAACTCAAACCCCTTCAGGACATTTCGTTATGACAACAGCTTACTTACTATGGGCTTCTTTTGTCACTTTGGGGATTTTTAAAATTTGTGTGTCTAAGGGTACATAGGGAGCTCTGGTAGCATAGTGCCTAAGGCTCTTGACTGCTAACCAGAAGGCTGGAAGTTCAAACCCACCAGCCACTCCTTAGAAGGAACATTGGGCAATCTACTTCCCTAGTGATACCACCCCGGAAACCCAAGGAGGGGTCGCTATGAGTCCGTCCCGATTAGACAGCACATAACAACAACATGGCATATTTGGGATACTTGGGAGTCTCGTCTGCTAACTGAAAGACTAGATGTCTGGATCTACGGGAGGCAACTTGGAAGGCCTGGCACTCTCTTTCCAAATACCAGCCATTGAGAACCCCGCAGAGCCCAGTGCTACTCTGCCCACGTGGTGTCACCACGAGTTGGAGTTGACTCAATGGTACCGGGTTACCAGTTACCAGATACGGTGTATTTAACTTACAGCCTTTTATGAGAGATGGGACTTTCTGGTGTGTTCTCATGACTTCTCCCTGTTTTGTCTCCTCGTAATTCTTTCAGAATTCTTTAAACCCACTTTTCTAGAGATCCATCCTTAAATATGTAATTGTCACTCAATTTTTCTTTTAACTTGTAAGCATATTTTTTTATGTTCCTATGTAGGCTATAAAAGCAGATGTGTAAAAATTTACACAAATGGATCTGCATGTTAGGTGATGGAGTATGAGAAGTCGATTTAGGGGCAGGTAACGTTAGTTCGCTAAATGCCTTACATTAACAGTGAGGCACAGGTGGTAAGGTGTGGTGGATGCTACTGCTGGGGAAGGCTGTATGGGAGCTCGGTCCTACTGAAAAGGAAACTACACACATGGCGCGTGTGCTCCCATGAGCTGGAACCAACTCGACAATGAGTCTGGTTTTCTGGCTTCAGATCTAACACTGCGTATGTAATTACTCTAAAATGAAGCACTAAAAAAGCAGAAACTGCAGTTCCCACATGAAGACGAGTTCATGTGACAAAAATCAACTAGGCTGAAAGGAGAGGAAGGCCAGAGCATCTTCAGATGTGCCGCGGGCTGCGGGGCTGCGGGGCCGCGGGCAGCGTGTGGGGGCGGCCACTGGGCCAAGGGCCCCAGCCCCACCTGGTCGATGGGGTCCCACATGTACAGCTCGCCCTGCTGCTTCTGTTCGTCCTTCTTGTCCTCCACGTTGACGTCCACGTCCCCTCGAGGGCCCAGCTTCTTATGCTGGGGGGGGGGAAGAAGCACAGAGCGTGAGCCCCTGGCAGCCCGAGTTTGGGATCAGCCGGCGAGCAGCGTGCACCCACACCGCCCCGTCTCAGGGCCTTTGCACGGTCCGTTCTCGCCACCTGGCTTCTCTCTCTCCATCAGGTCTGTGCCCAGCATCAGCTCCTCAGGAGAGCCGCCCCTGTGCACTTCACCTAAAAGGAGCCACACATCCCCTCCCACCCCGCCACTCCTCGGCCGCTTGCTCCATCTCACCAGTAGCCTTACATCATCTAGCTACTGAGGTGCTGTCTCCTCCACCTTCCCTCAGAACATACACTCCACAGTCCCTGCAGGCCATCATGGAAGCGGGGGACATGAAAGGGACTTGTGGACAGTGAAGCCCCACTGAGTTCCACTGTTGCACAGCAGACATGGGACACACGCTTGGAAGCCAGACAGACGTGGCCTCCAATTACTTCCTTAGCAGGGACTACCGCATTTATTTTCTTCATGTAACGCACCTGCTTAAACGCTGCACACATGCATGTAACATGTAGAGTGCTCACAGGGCATGAACGAACCAGGGGCTTGTACAGTTTGCAAAAAACCGTATGATCCACGTGCATGCTTTGCATAAAAATACAGTAACTGTGTGGCCTTGCCTAAGTCATTTAACCTCCAACCACAGTGTCCACATCTGTCAAGTGGGTGCAGGCTGGGGGGCTGGGACGAGAATGAAGACGAGAACGTCTGTGAAGGTGCCTAGCCCAGTGCATGGCACACAGCGCACCCCTTCCTCTGAGCGTCACAGCGGACGAGTGGAAGCCGCCTTCCCGGCTTCACACCCACCAACGAGAGCTGGGAACCCCAGGACCTGCTCGGAGAGCTGTGCGAAGGGCGAGACGGAGGAGCCAGAGGCGCTGAGGCAGCAAAGAGCAGAGGCAATGATGTGGCTGCAAGGACTCGCTGAACCAAAGACCCGAGACACGGGGCCCGCCACAGCCCACGGCTGCTGTGTCCTGCCTTCACCGGGCAGAAGTGTCCCGTGGAAACTCAGTGCTATGGCCCAGCTGCTCGGGGTCTTAAGGAGACCGTGGGGGCTGCAAGCAGTTAATGCACTTGGCTGCTAACTGAGAGATAACTGCGTCCACTCCACCCAGTGGCCCCGGGGGAAAAAGTCCCAGAGAACTATTTCTGAAAACTCAGCTGTTGAAACCCCGTGGAGCTCAGTTCTGCTTTGAGACGCACAGGGGAGCTAGAGTCGGAGCTGATGGGACAGCAGCTGGTTTGGCTGCCAGTGCGGTGGACGCAGTTCAGCGCTTGGCTACTAACGGAGAGACTAAGGTTCAAGTCCTCTCAGAGGTGCCTTGGAAGAAAGGGCTGGCAATCTGCTTCCACAAGGTCATGGCCACTGAACACCTGCTGCAGCTCAGCTCAGCTCGGAGACACATGGAGCTGCTGTGAGTCAGAGTCAAGTGCATGACCACTGCCTTGGGCTTCCTTCTTTCTTCTTTTGTCTCTTTATAGCCTGAACCTCCCACTCATCTGTCTGTTTGTTGCACTGTGGTGGCTTTTGTGTTGTTATGCCACCAGTATTCCAAGTACTAGCAGGGTCACTCATGGTGGATAGGTTTCAGCAGAGCTTCCAGACAAAGACAGACTCCAAAGAAGGAAGAGGTCATTTACTTCTCAAAGAACTGGTCAAGGAAAACCTTATGAACAGCAGTGACACTGTCTCTAATCTATGTCATAAATAACTGACACCAATTCCCAAGCACGACCCAGCCTCTTTGGCATCCCCTGCTCCCGTGGGCACAGCGCTCCCCAGAGTTACTGGTACTCCATCCCCTTGGGGTAGTTAAGGTTGTTGTCAACTTGGCTGGGCCCAGTTGAGTGGCTGGGCAGCTGGATGTAGTTATTCCCCATGGTGACACTGGTAATTAATTCCATGGTGGCATCTACTGGAGCAAATGAGTAGCTGCTTTACGGATGTGGTCTGCTTCCCGTATATAAGCTGCAACTTTGAGGAAGACCTCCAGTTTTTTGAGCACAGTTGAACCCTGCATGTAGCCAAGCTGTTCAGCAGCCTGCCCGACCCTGCCAATATTGGGACTTGAATTAGTGGCCGCCATGTTGTTTGGTAACATCGGGACTGTACCTTTGTACTTGTCAACCTTGGGCTTGTCAGTCTCAGCAGCCAGTAGCTGTCTGAGTGAAGAAAAGCCTCCAGCTTTAGTGGGCCGGGTGCAAAAGGCAGAGCTGAAGCCCAAGGTTGAGGGGCATTCACCCAGCCCGCCCCTAGAGTCTGGCACTTTGAACTCAGACTTCTAGCCTCCCAAACTGTAAGAGAATGAACTCCTGTTTGTTGAAGCCACGCCATAGGTGGTATATTCCTGTCAGAGCGGCACTAGGGAATCAGAACAGCTCATCACCCCACTGCTGCACAGGGCCCATGGCTTGCTAACTGTCTCCATGTCTGTAACTCATACTAGACTGAGGCTCCCAAGGGTCAGAGCAGGGTCTGGGCGCCTGGATCTCATCCAGCTCCTAGCACAGGGCCTGACCCACAGCAGGGGTGTGGGAGGGTTGCCGAATGAATGAATGAATAAATGAACAAAGGAATGGCCATGAAGGCTGGGAAGCACTTCCTACAATTCTGCACACAGTCTTGCATGCTGTGCTTGGAGTGAGCTAAGAAGAGGGCATCTGCTACTGTCCCCCGAGACTGGTGGGGACAGAGAGGCAGTGAGAGGCTGTGGGACTTGCTCGGGGTCGGGGTTAGTAAGCAGAGCTGGGGCTCAGATCCGGGCCCTGAGCCACTGGGCCCCAGCAATGAATGAGCACAGCGCAGCCGGGGCCTACCTTGATGATGACCTTCTCACGCAGCTGGCTGGGCGAGGGCAGCTGGTCGGCACTGGCCTCCGTGGGCTTCACCAGCAGCGTGTCACCCAGTACCTCCCTGAACACCTTGGCCATGTAGCGCTGCTGTTCCACCCCACAGTGCTGCTCGATGGACAGGATCACGGGAAAGCTGCAACAGAGAGCGGCGGGGCTGGGCAGCGGGCACCGGGCGCCACCGCGCAGGCCACGCCCCCTGCCTGCCCACAGGGAACCCAGGGCCAAATGACCTCCCTGAGAGTGGGCACCAGGCCACCCCTCAGGGCACACGCTCTGCCTGCCCAGCAGGGAAGCCGGGGGCTGTCTGACCCCAGGGAGAGCGGGCACCAGGCCACTGCTTGGGCACACCCTCTGTGCCTGTCTGGGACCAAGGTTGGGGTCTGCTCAGCACGGCGGCAGTGGGCTCTGGGCTTCTCCATGATCCCCCACCTAAAGGCACCGACCACATACGGGGGCAGGCCCTCACCAGCCAGGCCTGCAGGCAGCTCTAGGGTGATGCAGGGCTTCCCAAGCTCCGGCCCTCTCTCCCAGCACCTCCCCAGGGCACGTCGTGTCTGGGTACAAACCTATAGTGCCTCCCCCACTTGTCTTTCAATCCACTCATTTCTTCTAAACTGGGAGAAAATAAAATAGGTCCTTACATGTTTTTGAAAAGTTAAAACCTACAGGAAGGTGGGAAGATGGAACAATGAGTACTCATGTGCCTGTCATCAGAAGTCACCGGTTCTGAACGTCTCCCACCTCGGCTTCCCTGTATGCACATCAGAGACTCCCTGAGGGATGCCAACAGTCAACCCACTCGGCGGCTGTGAACCAAAAAGCCGGAGCTCTGAGTATACCCAGAGGGGCCTCAGAAGACAGGCCTGGTGATCTGCAAATGCAGCCAGTGAGAACCCTACGGGGCTGAGTTCCAGCCTGACGCATGCTGAGTGTGTGTGCGTGTCTGTGGATCATGGGTCACTTCCACCTTCCGGCTGCCGTCAACAGTGCTGCAGTGAACACTGGTGTGGCTACATCTACTGGACCCTATGATTGTCTGATTGATTGTTTTGGTTGTAAACCTAGGAATGGAATCGTGAATCACCCCAGTTTTAAGATGTAGAAAGCACAGCACAGAAGGTACCCTCCCCCACCTGGTAACTAGCAGACCTGGGGATTGGCACTGGACCCGAGGGTTCCAACACCCATGCTCACGGACGCTCTGCCACGTCACCAGTGTTCAGAATGACCCTCACTGCACTGAAGCTGCAGGAGGCTTCTTCCCAACTACCACAAGTGACCGAGGAGCTAGATCAGGGGTCAGCCAGGGATGGTCTGCAGGCCTGCCACCTATTTTTGTTGATAAAGTTTTATGAGAACTCAGCATGCCCATCTGTCTATGTTCTGTGGCTGCCGTCAGGCCTGACAGCAGACTGAGTAGTTGTAACAGAGACTATCTGGCCTGCAAAGCAGAAAATACGTGCTGTGGGGTCCTTTACATGAAACATTTGCCGGCCTCCATCCTAGACTGAGGTCCAGTGGTGACACAGAAAAGTAGTCTGAGGAGCGACCTCAGTATTAGTGTGTGCACGCTTGGGGCCTCTGCACCTCACCTATGAAGCGGGGACAACTGTGCCAACCATGCAGTGCGGAGCTCAGAGCATGGGCACCACAAGCCCAGCACTCAGCCCGGTCCTTGGGAGGCCCGGGAAATACGGATCCCCCGTTACTGCATGCGAGTTCCACATAGCAACGGACGCCTGGGCGGGGCTGGACAGACAGGGGGCTGGGACAGCCCTGGTGGCGCAGTGCCACTGCCAACCAGAAGGCTGGTGGTTCAAACCCACCAGCAACTCCCCGCAAGGAAGACTGGGCAATCTACTTCCATAGTGACACTGCCTCGGAAACCCAAGGAGGGGCTGCTATGAGTCAGATCTGACTCGGCGGCAGTGAGTTTGCTTTGGTTTTTGGTTTTCACTCTTGAAGGGTCTGAGGATGGGGCCAGCTTGTGAATGTGGAGGTAGGGCGGGACAGAGGTTGGGTTAGCCTTAACCCTGCCTCAGGCTCAAGAACCTCTCAGGCTGCAGGGGGCGCCAACACTTAGCTAAGGACTTAGCAGTATCTGGCCAAGGAGCTCTGGTGGTGCCGTGGTTCACGTAATCAGCTGCTAACCAAAGGGGTGGTGGTTTGAACCCCCAGCCACCCCATGGGAGAAAGATGAAGCAGTCTGCTTCCACAAAGACCGACAGCCTTCAAGACCCTGTGGGGCGGTGGGGCGGATCTTCTCCATCGTATTGGATGGCTATGAGGAAACCAACTTGAGGACAGTCGATTTGCTTCCCCGAGAGAAAGAAAGAGAAAGAGATTGAACGTGTGTGCGTGTATGAGACAGAGAGAAGAAGAGAAGGACTAAGTTTGTCTGATGCGTGGAAGAATACATGTGTGAGTGTGTGTGTGAGCCCTCTGTGTGAACAAAATATACTGTGAGTGAGCACACTGTGTGAACGTGTGTAGCAGTATTGTGTGGTTGAGTGTTTATGTGTGAGTACACTGTAAACGTGTAACAGAGGGCATATGTGTGAGTGTGTGAGCTCACTGTGTGAACATGTATAACACAGTGTTTGAGAGCACGTGTGTATGTGAGAGCACATTGTGTGAACGTGTATAACAATATTATGTGGGTGCGTGTGTCTGTGTGTGAGCACACTGTGAACATGTGTCACACTGAGAGCGCATATGTATGTGTGTGAGCTGTGTGAATGTGTAACATACTGTGTCTGGGAGCATGAGTGTGTGTATGTGTGTGTGAGCACACTGTGAACGTGTGTCACACTGACAGCGCATATGTACGTATGAGCTCACTGTGTGAATGTGTAACATACTATGTTTGAAAGCGTGAGAGTGTGTATGTATATGCGAGTACACTGTGTGAACGTGTGTACAGTATTGTGTGGTTGAATGTGTGTGTGTGTGTGTGTGAGCACACTGTGAACGTGTGTCACGCTGTTTGAGAGCATATACGTTCATGTGTGAGCTCACTGTGTGAATGTGTAACATACTATGTTTGACAGCGTCAGCGTGTATATGTGTGCGAGCACACTGTGTGAATGTGTGTAACAGTACTGTGTGGCTGAGTGTGTATGTGTGCTTCTCTCTCCCTGGACGCAGACACAGAACCCCAGCCGCCCCTCTGTCTCAAGAGCAAACCATCTGGAAAGCTATCAGCCAACTGACCTTGAGGTGACAAAGGCGTGGTCTTTGATGGCCTGCACAACATCGTCAAACTTGATCTTGGTGGTGCGCGTCCAGCCGTGGTAGATGATGGGCTTTCCGTCTGGCCCGTCCCAGCAGTCCACTAAGGGGAGAAGTGACGTCCTCAGCACCCTGCCATCGTCAGCTCCCCAGCCACACGGCAATGGGCAGACATACTGCTCGGCCCCGGAGCCGGGAGCTGCCCTGGGTGCCCACAGCCAGCTTCGATCTGAGGACGCAGCGCTCCAGACCGAGTGATTTCACGGGGGTGGGGGAGGGGTGCTGCAGACACGAGCACACGCATGTACCTAGGGGCTCCTCAGATAGTATTTTTAATTATAAGTAATTCTTTTGGTTTCTTGTAATTCTAATGCAGTAATAGATTTGTCCAAGGGGGATTCTTTTAAATGATTCTTTGTTAAAAATACGTTTCATTTTCTGATGTCACCTGTTCAAAGCTTGGCTTGCTTTTGCTGATAGTGGACGTGATCCGAGCTGTGAAAGGGTCCTTCTTAAAGGCTCACAGCGAGATGTTCTAACAGACACAGACACCCCACACGCTCAACAACCAGAGGTCACTTCCAAAACCTGTTCTTTCACATTAGCCTCCCCCTCTTCCTCACCCCGCAAAAAGACAACGGAGAAGAAACTAGGGCAGAGCCCAGAGGAGTAAGTGCAACTGAAGGCTGACACCGTGATGTGTGTTTTCAATAAAAGGGGGCCTATATCAGAGTTTGATACCTTTTCTGCACCACACCACCTGTGGGCCATCGGTGCTCAGGTGAGAGGTCGGGAGGGGAAGGACTGAAGAGGTAAAAGGAACTAGGCCTCCATGGACTGCCGAGCCACAGATGCTGGCCTGCCAACTGCCCATCAAGGACAGTTAACAAAGCCACCTTGGCTACCAGCCTGCCAGGTCACTGGGCACATCAGGATGGGTTCCAGCTACCCAGAGTCAATGCCCATCAGAACAGAGTTGGCACCAAGTAACCTAGCTCCAAGAGGGTCAGTCTCCTCACCACTCCTTCTCTTAGGAACAATGTTCTACAAAGGTCCTTGTCCCTCAGCACAGATGCTCCAGACACCAGGGTCCCTCTTGGCCTGTCCACCCAACTCCACTTGAAAAATAAAAACCACTTCAACAACCGCACGGCCAGTCCCCCTTCACCATAGTATCAGGCTTGGAAAAAGCTACTCACGCTCAATGCAGCGGCAGCCCATTCGCAGACAGCGAACATACGCCTCCGTGGACGACTCACTCCGCAGCTGGTCACCCGTGAGGTACCTGAAGGGGGCGGCAGGCGTGTGGGGGGCACCCTGAGGAACTCAGCCTGAGCCCCCAGGGGCCTGGGTGCTTCCTGTCTAGAGAGATCCAAGCTACTTTCATAGGATGCGAACCTTGTTGATCCAAGTGGGCAGGTTAGCCTTATAGGAGAACCCAGTCAAATAGAGCCAACAGGGAGACTGATGGCCGATGACAAACGCTCAACCGCCATGGCACAACTGCCACACACAGCCACACAACCACCATGGTTGCACACCAGACACTCAGCTCCACACACCCACACAACTGCCACGGCTACCCACCAGAAACCCAGCTCCACACGCAACCACACAACTGCCATGGCCACCCACCAGACACCCGGCTGCACACACAGCCACAACCACCACAGTCACACACCAGAAACCCAGCTCCACACGCAACCACACAACTGCCACAGCCACCCACCAGACACCCAGCCGCACAGCCACCATGGCTGCCCACCAGACACCCAGCTCCACACACAGCCACGTAACCGCCACGGCTGCCCACTGACACCCAGCACCACACGGCAGGGCTCCTGACCAGACACAGAAAGCCATTTAGCAACTACTGGTGGATGAAGCAGCTATGAACCTTGCCCACCCGAAGGGCGATGACGATACTTCCTACCCTTATGGCTGTGCTGGTGGCCGAAGCCCGTGGCTGCTGCATCCCCCCCCCACACACAGCTGTACTTGGTACCTGTGTAGTGCCCGCTATTCTCCGTTACAACTCCACCTCCCACCCCACCCCTTTTTAAAGCATTTATGTTCCTTAACTGTCTTCTATGTTTGTTAGGAATCACCATTCTAAGACCCAAACTCTTAAAGCAACGAGAAGGGGAGGGAGCAGGAGATGGAACATGAACAAGGTCCGTGGAACCAACCTGACCTGCGAGCCTGCACCTTCTGAGGAGCCTGGAGGATGAGCACAAAGGGCTCCTCTCAGACCCACCAGGAACGGCTCTGGGAAGTGCCGAGCTGGTGCTCCGAACGCCCGTGGCCCACAGACGGCACCCTCTCACCTCGTCAGGCTGACGGAACGTGGCAACATGAGCCCGACAGCCATCTCTCCCTCCGTCCCGTTCTCTCCCTGTGCAGTGGGGGGCATCTTCCAGAGGGTGTCCGACACGTGCTTCTACTTTAAAGCCGTCAGCGGGACGCTGGCCTCAGGAGAAGGGCAGCTGCCCCTCTGACGTGCATGCTGCTGCTCCAGCTGGCCCTGCCGGCCCCTCCTGCCACTCAGCCTCTCGGACCCTTCACTCTGGCTCACAGACGTCTCTCCGGGCTCCTGTCCCCGGGCCTCTGCCCACACCACCACTCCTTGCCTCCTCACCTGTTCCTCTCACCAGCTCCTGCTCATCCTTACAACCCACTGGAGGGAGACCTTCTCTCTAAACACAGTGCAGAGTAGAACCACCTCTGTCCTGCTCCCACTGGGCCCCTGGGGGCCAGGCACAGGGTAGATGGTCAAGAAATGTGAGCTGGGTCACTAATCAAACTGACTTCGATGTGGCCATGATGAGAGCCCAAACCAAGAAAACCAGGCTTTGTTTTGTCTTCTTAATTTATGTCTTCTGTGAAGGTTTATGTAGCAGTTTAGGTTACCATTCAACAATTTCTGTACAAGTTGTTCAGTGATGCTGGTTACAGTCTTCACAAGCATGAACAGTCTGGTTAATTCCATTCTAGTTGCTCCATTTCCATTCATCTAGTTTCCCTACCCCCTCAGCTTCTCATCTTTGCTTTAAAGTCATTGTGGACCATGGGATCTCACATCTTTAAAGGAGCACAGTACTTACAGGTCCTATATGTTATTTTTAACTTTTTAAAAAATATTTGCAGTGTTCTGTCCCCTCCTCTCCTAGCCCTAGAGCCAACAAAGAAAGTTTCCTTATATAAAAACCTGTCCTTAACTATTGACAATTAACACCATATTTCTCCTTCTGTGACTGGCTATGTAATCTTTTTTGAGACAATTGATTTTCAGCTGCCAGGTGACTTAAGGGTTAGTTTCTGTTCCAGGTTTGAAGAGCACAGTCTCAGGACATCATCTAGTCTCAACCACACAACCACCACGGCCACCCCCCCACACCCTTCTGCCACTTCCACACACAAGAGCAGCACACGGAATGCAGCCGTGTTGCCCTTGTTCTGCCAGCCCCATCGCAGGTCCCCTGGAAACTCACGTGTTATGTGACGAGGAGATCCAGTAGTGAGACAAGGGGTTGTTCATGTCCTGCATGTCAACCACGTCATACTTCTCGTCCCAAATGCTGTTTTCCCGTGAGAACAGGTACATGAGGAACTGAGAGAGGCACAAACACGAGACCAAACCGTCACACGGGTGTGAAGGGTCGCGTGTGGTGCCTTCCGACCTGTGCCGTCAGGGGAGTGGGCAGCTCTGATGGGTGAAGTCCACACATGACCCCAGGCTCGTTTGTGGAGGTTTTCAGTGCAGAACAGCAGACTGTGAAAGGCTGTGCTGACCCAGACGTGCTGCACTGAGCTGCGTGCCATTTTCTTTTTAAAGCCCATCCTAATACAGTTGATACTACAAGAACACGTGCTTCCCCAACATAACCTTCAGGAATTCCCGAGTCATGCCAACTACTAATGTGCTTGGCTCCTAACTGAATGGCTAGAGGTTCAAGTCCACCCAAAGGTACCTCGGAAGACTGGGAGGTATGTCCCAAAAGTCAGCCACAGAAAACCCTGTGGGTGCAGATCTGCTCTGACACGTGGTTGTCATGAGTCACGGCTGACTCCACGGCAACTAATTCCATGTAACTTTTCAGGCATGATAATAAAGTGGATGTTTGTGAACCCACCACCCAAGTCAAGAAAAAGAACATTACCAATATGCTGACATCTAAAAGGGACGGCATTATATATAAAGATCCCAATTCCTAGCCCCTTTTAAAAAAAAAAAAAAAAAAATCAGAAGATTGACTGACACTGGACCCACACTCTGCTCTGGAAGCAGTCCTTAGCTGGAGCAGATGCTTCCCAGGTGCCCTCAGCCCCCTCCCAGCTGCCGAGCCTGGGCCTACATCAACCACTCCAACTGCCAGCGAGCACCCCTAACCTCGGGACTTTGTTCCTGACAATTTCACGGTTAGACTCTCGCTAGCAGCAGACTCCCCCTAGTGGCGGAAACAATGAATACACTCTAACAACACGCAATAGACAAAGATGTGAGAGGGCCTGAACACTCCAGCAACTGGGGGAAAAACCAGCTTCTCACAGAAACATTTGAAGCAAAGAACCAGCAAACCAACCTCTGAGGACCGAGAAATGAAGCAGAAGGTCGGCCCATCCAAACAGCAAGCCCAGTTCACTCACCTCGTCGACAAACAAGAAGGGTTCAGCCGTCTCCCTCATCGTGTCGTCGATAAACTTCGTCATCCGCTCGCGGACTTTGTTCAGATCCTGAGCCCAGGGCTCCTTAAGAAACAAAGAGACACAAGACATCACCACAAAGAGGACAGACAGCATTCCTCACCTCTCTGGGTCTGGTTGAAATCACAGCCCGAAATGCCACCAGAAATCAGAACCAGCCACTCTGGCCAAGACCACAGAAGGTCCTGGAGAGAATGGAGACACTGTACAGCAAAATGCAAAATCGTGAAACAGACCAGGAGTGACGGTCTGCTGGAGACTGGGGCCCTCAGATACCCCTCAGGCCTGGAACCAACCCCATGGAGATCACCTTTCAGCCAGACAGAAAGCCCTATACAGTGAACAACACTCATAAGAACATGCTCCTCAGAACAGCCAACCACACAAGACCCAAAAACAAAGCTCTGAAGGCAGGGAGAAGCAGGAGAGAAGGACGGATGAAAGCAGGAGCTCAGGGAGGAGTGGGAGGAGGGCAGTTATGGAGAAGATTGCAACTACTGTCACGAAACAAAATGGGCATAAACCGTTGAATGGAAAACTAACGCACTCTTTAAACTTTCACCCAGACCACAATGAAACATTCAAAAATGCTCCGAGTTCACACACAATCGATCGCCACATCTGCAAGACTTCCCCTGTGCATGGTCTATGGCAGGAATCAACATCTTCTTAGAGAAGCAGGCATCATACATTTTAGGCTTTGCAGCTCTGTGCTGCAACCACTTGACCCTGTGGGTTAAGATATGGCCACAAACGGATATTCCAATAAAACTTTATTTACAACAAGCAGGGGGCTGGACTGTGCCAACTCCCACGTTATACTAGCATCAAGAATATGTGCAACACACTTCCTACTTTAGCAAGTAGCGACTGGGATCTTAAAAGTGTGCAAGCAGCCATCTAGACGCAACAATGGGTCTCTCCTCATCCAGAGCAAAGAAGAATGAAGAAAACCAAAGACACATGGAAACAATTAGTCCAAGGGACTAGTGCACCATGTGATCCTCAGCCTGTATGACTATGAGACCAAAAGAACTAGATGGTGCTTGGCTACCACTGTAAACCACCCAGAGGGGGATCCATGCAGGAGACCCTGGATAGAGAGGGAGAAGAATGTGGAACAAAACTCAAAATCAGGAAAAAAAAAAGGGACCAGGTTTGCTGGTCTGATGGAACCACTGAGACTTTGGCCCTTAGCTGCCCTTCAGGTCTGGAATTGAACCCACTCCTATGGCTTCCAGCCAAGCAACAGACAGGCATATGAGCTGAACATTTACCTCAGGTAGATACACTCCTTGGAGAGAACAATCATGGGAGAATAGAAGGGCTGTGTATGCACAGGGAGACAGCTCAGGGGGCAGGAGTGC